AAAACAGGACGCCTGGTCGCCTTTCAGCTGAAACATGGTGATGAGAATAAAGCAGGACGCCTGGTCGCCTTTTAGCTGAAACATGGTGATGAGACTAAAGCAGGACGCCTTGTTGCCTTTTAGCTGAAACATGGTGATGAGAGTAAAGCAGGACGCCTGGTCGCCTTTCAGCTGAAACATGGTGATGAGACTAAAGCAGGACGCCTGGTCGCCTTTCAGCTGAAACATGGTGATGAGACTAAAGCAGGACGCCTGGTCGCCTTTCAGCTGAAACATGGTGATGAGACTAAAGCAGGACGCCTGGTCGCCTTTCAGCTGAAACATGGTGATGAGACTAAAGCAGGACGCCTGGTCGCCTTTCAGCTGAAACATGGTGATGAGACTAAAGCAGGACGCCTGGTCGCCTTTCAGCTGAAACATGGTGATGAGACTAAAGCAGGACGCCTGGTCGCCTTTCAGCTGAAACATGGTGATGAGACTAAAGCAGGACGCCTGGTCGCCTTTCAGCTGAAACATGGTGATGAGACTAAAGCAGGACGCCTGGTCGCCTTTCAGCTGAAACATGGTGATGAGACTAAAGCAGGACGCCTGGTCGCCTTTCAGCTGAAACATGGTGATGAGACTAAAGCAGGACGCCTGGTCGCCTTTCAGCTGAAACATGGTGATGAGACTAAAGCAGGACGCCTGGTCGCCTTTCAGCTGAAACATGGTGATGAGACTAAAGCAGGACGCCTGGTCGCCTTTCAGCTGAAACATGGTGATGAGACTAAAGCAGGACGCCTGGTCGCCTTTCAGCTGAAACATGGTGATGAGACTAAAGCAGGACGCCTGGTCGCCTTTCAGCTGAAACATGGTGATGAGACTAAAGCAGGACGCCTGGTCGCCTTTCAGCTGAAACATGGTGATGAGACTAAAGCAGGACGCCTGGTCGCCTTTCAACTGAACATGGTGATGAGACTAAAGTAAGAACGCCTGGGCGCCTTTCAGCTGAAACTTGTGGATGAAGACTAAAGCGGACGCCCTGGCCGCTCTTCCGCTGAAACATGGGGAAGAGACTAAAGCAGGAAGCCTGGTCGCCTTTTCAGCTGGAAACATGGTGAATGAACTAAAGCAGGACGCCTGGTCGCCTTTCAGTTGAAACATGGTGATGAGACTAAAGCAGGACGCCTGGTCCCTTTCTCTGAAACATGGTGAAGAAGACTCAAGCAGGGCGCCCAATATCAGGTGGGTGAAATTTATTTTTTCAAAATGACATACTCTGCTGGTCTGACCGCTCAGGGAGGAGAAGAGAAGAGAGGGTGGTGGTGAAGTAGCTTTTCTCCATGTTCCTCACACACACACACACACACACACACACACACACACACACACACACACACACACACACACACACACACACACACACACACACACACACACACACACACTCGTCATGGCTATTCTTAGCTGTGTACCAGTTATTTTTAGACCGCTACCGGTTTCCAGCCATTTAGTTGGGAGGGATCTGAGCCGCACAAAGGAGTGTGTGTGTCGCACAGACGCACACAGACACACACAGGAAGCGTTGCCAACCCGCCACATGAGGGAAAGAGGCGCAAAACAAAGGATTCTTTCTTCTTCTGCTGAATTCCTTTCTCTCTTTTTATTCTTCAGCAGAAAAACAACAAACTCTTTTTTTCTTTTTTTTCTTTAATTTTCATCGACGGACTGAAAAGTAAAATGTGCCAATAACAAAATATCAGCTTTAAAAGTAGAGAAGAGGAATATTGTAGTAAAAGCAGCTCAAAGTAAAAGTATTTTGCTTGTTGATTACGTGTCTTTGTTCTTTCTGCTCAGATTATGAAGATTTTACTGTTTTCTATCTGATGGAAGATGAAATATCTGTATTTCAGACCATCGAGTCATCAGACGATTATTGTTATTTATATTGTTATTACCTGATTATTTGCAAATGACAAATTTAAAAATAAACCGATAATAAAAGTGAACGCAAGTTGTTTTGATTTGATAATAAACCGAATATCTTCAAATATGGACAAATATCTTCTGTACAAAACATTTGAGACCGACGTTACATCGTTTTCAGAGGACAAATGAGGACTAAAGGAAATTAAATATAAATAAAATAACCGTCTGTCGTTTACATATTCTTATGATTGTGATAATAAACTGAATATCTTTTTATTGTATGTTTGAATAAAGGAAGCAGCTGCACAATATTATGACAATAAGAAAATAATAACAAGATTAATTTAAAAAAAGGTATGAATAAAAATTACACACGTTTACATTATGAACCAACCGCCAATCAACATTTTGGAAATAATCTTTTAACCGTGTATGTCATTCAGTTTACTTATTGTACTACTCTTATTGAACAATTGTCATTATTAATGTAGTAGTTAATACTATTTAATCTATGCATCATCTTTTTTCTTATTTTTCTGTGTCACAAGAATCTACTTTGAGTTCTTTCTATCTCGTATGTAGCAGTTAGCTTAGCATAAAATCCAATCAGAGGAGCGGCATGTTTGAGTTTCAAATGCTACCAGTTGAATGTTTGGATTCATTACCCACAATCCCTCTGTGAACTCTGCATGAGAAAGACTCTTCAGCAGCAAATGATCCAGAGAAGAAGACGGATTAAACTAACGAGCTACACGGGATTGTGGGAGATTACAGGTGCTGAGGGGTCATGTGACCGGGGCCAACCGCTCAGGTGTGTCCCTGACTGACAGGTGACAGGTGCTCCTCTAACATGACCTCGCTCGCTCCGAGACCCTGGTCATGTGACCGGAGACACGTCCCCCTGTTGTCAGGACACACACACACACTACAACACACACACACACACACACTACAACACACACCCACCGTCGGTAATCAGAATAATTCAATGTCCCTGTGTGTGTGTGTGTGTGTCTGTTGTAGTGTGTGTGTATGTGTGTGTTGTAGTGTGTGTGTGTTGTAGTGTGTGTGTGTGTTGTAGTGTGTGTGTTGTAGTGTGTGTGTGTTGTAGTGTGCGTGTTGTGTGTGTGTGTCTGTGTTGTAGTGTGTGTGTTGTAGTGTGTGTGTGTGTGCGTCCCTCACGTCCAGGATGTCGGCGTTGGTGCGGCTCTCGTGCGGCTCGTTGTACTCGGTGTACTTGAGCAGCACCTTGTCCATGTCGGTGTTGGCGTACTGGAACAGCTTGTTGGTGCTGTTGAAGATGATGAGGGCGATCTCACAGTCGCACAGCACGCTCAGCTCGTAGGCCTTCTTCATCAGCCCGAACTTACGCTTGGTGAAGGTCACCTGGGGGACGCCGAATATTCCAGCTTCAATAATTACTGAAGGTTTCGTCGTTGAACTCGTGGTCCTCAGAGGACCTGGATCTGGTACCGTGTGATGCTGATGTGTGTGAACACCATTTCTATTCATGGTCCCGGAGGACGAAGAGGATTTGGGTTTTAATGGACTTCTTCCATAATCACAGAGCTGAACCTGCAGCCCGGTAAGATCCCCTCAGAGGGAAACCACCTCATCTGGTTTTAAATTAACGCCGACACGTGTGACCTCACTTCCAGGAAGTGGATGTGTGTCTGTGTCTGTGTGTGTCAGCGTGACACACACGTGACTTTCAAACGGCTTTGGAGGAAAAGAAGATTTGAGTTGTTTTGTTTCTCAAATTAAAACACAGATTCTCAAAATCAAACCGCTTTGTAAACATGGTCATAAATATTCCGATGGACGAGGTCGTTTCTGCATCTACAGACGGTTTTGTTAAATGTACAGTTTATGTCTTAATTCTGATTGAATATGAGCATCATATGTGATGTCATATGGGGTGATGACGTCACAACGTTGCCTAGCAACGGCATCGTCAGGCTCTGATCACTTACATGTCTGTTCCGTTCGTCCATGATTCGTGCGATCTGGATCTTCTTCCTCCCCATCTTGGCTTCCTGCCGTTTGTGCTTCTTCTTCTGCTTCTACGCAAACTTCTTCTTCTGTGGTGCTTTGGTTGGAGTTTCTGGTCCACACAAACGCTTCCTTTAAAAAGCCCACGAATAACACGAGCGTGAGGACGCAGCAATCTCACACTCACTAAATTAACCGGATGTCAGAATGCAAATATTAAAACATCTGGAGGACTTTCCTCTGTGGGAGTTTATGAGTTATTCCCTCAGTAAACGTTGTAATCATGAGTTTATGTCTCAGTCTTCTTCAACACAACATGATGTTCATTTAGTGACTGATGGTCCATGTAGACCATAAAGCAGAGGATGCTTTAGGGCGGGGATACACGCTGATTGACAGGTCCCTACGAGAGACCTATACAGCGTCTACTTATACGGTCACTTCCTGTTTACTAGTAGCAACGTGCATGCATACGGGTCATAATTAGATTAATGACGTTCATTAACACGTTAGCTACTCATGCTAACATCACCTTCTCCGTCTCTTCACAATGTCTGTAGTTGTTTCAGTAGCTCCGCCCCCTCTCTTCACTTCTGGTTGCAAAAGAAAAGATGGCGAACCTCAAAACGCTACTTCTTGTTTCTTGTTTGACGCTCTGAGGGGCAACGGGACCTTCACAGCTTTCATCTCTTGGTCCAGACCAAAGCTGTTCATAAGAAATACCTTTTAATACGAGGTCTCTGACCTTTGACCTCTTACCCGTTGCCACTAAAGCCCTTCAGCCCTCTAATGCCGGGAGGACGTTCTCCGTGAGCGGCCAACAGAAGAACTGGACCACGTGACCCGTGTGCTGCTTGCTGAGCGAAGCTTAAGAGCTCGGGTCACACGCACACGCGTTTACACGCACACGCGTTTACACGCACACGCGTTTACACGCACACGCGTTTACACGCAGGGTTTCTTGGTGAGAGGAAGTGGAGGATGGACTTTGGACGTGATGAAGATGTAGGAGCAAGCAACACAAAGCTAAAGAGAGGAAGAGCAGTTTTTCTCCTTCACCATCATCATCGTCACCATCATCATCAACACCGTCATCATCACCATCATCCTCATCATCGTTAGCTGTGTAATAAAGATTCACATGATTTAAAACTAAATATATTAGTTTTAGTGCATCTCATGTCTTACATATAATGGATGAGTATAAATATGTGTATATTTATATTATATAACTTAACTACATAAGTCCAATTGGGATATTTTACTTAACATAAGCATAGTTTAGTTATTCATTTAAATGAGCCTGAGAACATGAGCAGAGATCTCCTGAGGTCACGTCATGTGACCATCACGTCATGTGACCAACACGTCATGTGACCATCTGAAGTCTGTGATTCAAAACTCTAAAACAGAAAAACAGAAGCAGGTTTCAATTTAGGAAAAACACAAAAAAAAACAGGAGGACTTTGAATCCAAAGAAGACGTGAGGCCTTCAGGGACCGTCACATAAAATGCGAAAAAATGCGTCTGGATTAACGCTTTCATGAACAAACCTCCCCCTCCTCCCTCCCTCCTCTGCTACCTCCTCCCTCCTATCCTCCCTCCTCTGCTCCCTCCTCTCCTCCTCCAGGATATTTATAGATTCCAAAAATAAGAGTGAACTTTTCACCCCCAAACTACAATATGGAGACCAGACCTCTCTGCCCCCCTGTCTCTGTCTGTCTCTCTGCCCCCCTGTCTCTCTCTGTCTGTCTCTCTGTCCCCCTGTCTCTCTCTGTCCCCCTGTCTCTATCTGTCCCCCCGTCTCTCTCTGTCTGTCTCTCTGTCCCCCTGTCTCTCTCTCGGTGGCAGTGCTCTTGCTCTCCTTGGCAGGACACTGGACCTCTCTGTGGAGGGGGGGCTGGAGGGGTCAGGGTCCCCCATCACAGCTAAAAGGCTGGAAGCAGAGGGAGGAACTAGCTAACTTAGCTTAGCTTAAAGACTGGAAGAGTTCCGTATGGTCCCGTGGTGGACTGAGCAGGACTTATTTCGATAGCAGGCGATATGGCGGCGTTGCCTTGATGCGCTCGCTCACAGCGCCCCCAGTGGACTGATCAGGAACAGCAGCTACTTTCATAGAAACGCAATTCATGTCCTCCTGTAGTTCAATAGCAAAGTCACCCCATTATTACTAATATTACACAGATCATGAGGCATCAGAAGGATTCTTCATTTGAACTGTTAAAGTAATCCAGAGACATCTGTGCATTCATGAGTCACAATAACTTCTTAGAATAAATGAGCTCAGAGGGAAATATCTCATAACTCACCCGGACTTTACAGATTTACTTCAAATGAAGTAAAGTAACTTAACTTTAATAATAATGATAATAATGACACGTCTCAGCCTCTCACCGCGTGTTGCCGTGGAAACGCGCTCTCTCTCCCGCGCGGAGCTGCCGGTCTCCGGGGCACCGGGTCCTCGTGGAGCTCCGCAGCCGAGCGGCCCGGAAGCAGCGGGGAGAAAACGGGGAGAAAAAGGGGGAGAAGTTCGGGACACGACTTCCTCGGTGTGGCCGCGAGGAGGAGATCCGCGCCGCGCACGCGCACGTACAGCCCGCGCACTCTGTCCCGGACGCACGATGCCGAGCTCACCTGTGCGCGTGACTCCGACCAGCGGCACGCACGCTCCTCGGGCTCGTCAGCGCGCACCTGGACGTCGTCATCATCGTTACACACACACACACACACACACACAAACACACACGCGCGCGCGCGCGTACAGAAGAAAAGAAAAAAAAACTTTTTTGTTTGAGAAAAAAAAGAAACGAAGTGAATGGATGAGAAATACTTCATTATAATACTTCAATAGTACTTATTTAAATTGTATCTGTTTTGTTTCAAAAGTTTACTGTGGAAACATCAACCGGAGATCCGGTCCAGCGCCGCCCCCCAGTGGATCACACCGGAAGTTCATAATCAATAATCTGCAACTGCAAGGTGGGTTACAGCTTCCGGGTGATACAGAGAACCACGTGACTCTGAGAGAGCACCTGAACAGGTGTGTTAAATAGTACATCTACATATAGAAGTGAACCAGGAGGAGGAGCCTCGAGGAGAAGCTCCTCCTTCTGGTTGCTGATTGGTAATAATTGATTTCACGGGCGTTTCCGTGGGAGGAAGCGGAGATAAACTCGAATCAATGCAAATACGAGCGTGAATATGGATCATAAGCCCCCCGCACTCACCTGGAGGGTCCAGCTCCAGCTGAGGTCCGGGTCACTTGTGTCAAACAAGGATTCCTTTAGGAAGAAAGAGAAGAGACTGAAGCCAGACCAGCTGGCTCAGAGGGGTTCAGGTCTGAGATCAGCCGCACTGAGGGGAGGTTAGTGTTCGACCCCCGGACCCTGAGGCTCAAACCCCGCCCCCTCTGTGTCACACACACCCCCAGTGACCTCCCGTGTCCCAGCATGCCGCTCACCTGTCACTGTCACTTACACTATAAATAACTGTGTGTGTGTGAGAAGAAATAGTGTAAGAAAGTACACGAGTGTAGTATATATATATTAGACAGTATATAATGTAGTATGTAGTAAGCAGTATGTAGTATCTAGTATGTAGTAAAGTAGTATGTAGTAACTAGTATGTATGTGGACTGGTTGCGGTTACATTTAAATCCGTGAGTGAGTGTAAACTGATCCTCAGTCAGTGAACTGCTGGCCGGGGGGGTAACATGGGGGGGGACATTCCTGCTATTGAACATCAGACGGTTTGTCCAATACTTATTTACATTATTATTAGTATTTTTATGTCTATGATATGTTTTTTAAACAATTCTTCATGTTCTTTTTGAATGTTCATGAATATTCATGTTCAAGAAATAACTAGTTCATGTTTCACCACAATTAAATCCAAATGGATTTAAAGTCTTATGAATGGATTCTAATCAGATTCACTGTTTATTAACATTCACATAATTGTTTGTTTCCATCAGAACGATCGAGCTCAAAGTGGTTTGAAACATGTCATGATTCAAATAGAAGATTAATCAAACCAAATATTCACATTTAAAAGAATGTTCACATCTTTTATTGGTGACTTCAAACAACAATCTACAATAAAAATGTACATTGAGTTTTTTTTACTTCTTGAGAGTAATAATATGTAAAAGTACAACAACGAACTACTTCATGAGGTTTTATGTTGTTGACTTTTTCTATTTATTTTCGTGAGGTGAATTTGGATTCTAAGGAGTTTATGGCGACCTGGCTCCTCCCACTGTGACTGAGGTCACGCCCACTGGGGGGTCAAAGATGGCATGAAACGCTGGCATCTTCCTCATCCTGTTGCTATGGAAACCAGTGCTGTATCATTTACAACATTTGAAATTGGTATAAAAAGTGTCAACACTATTTGATAAAAGTCATGTTTCATATTTAAATCTATCTGCGTATTAACAGCCTCTCTCTGCTCGGTGTTCACGCGTAGCTTCTCTGATTCGTGGTCACATAAACGGTTTATTTGAGGCGACACTTTTAATAAGACATCAAATGTTTTTAATGAAATATAACTTTAAGTTGGCTTTGGCTGCTTGTTTTTGGTCTTCTTCACATACGATGCGTTCAAGGACCATTGGAATAATGAGAACCCAAAGATAATGACGGGCTTTTAGAGCTTGTGGCTGAGATGACCGGACAGACCTGACTGACCCCCGGCCCCCCCGTGTCGTCACATGGTCGGCATAGCCGGCCTACTGACGGACAGGTGGACAAGGAGCCGCTCACTGACTCTTGTTACCAACGAGACTCACACAGCAGTTAGAGACCCGTCAATCAGCGTGTAGCCCCGCCCTAAAGCGTCTCCTCTTTATGGTCTGTTTGACGTTAAATGGACCATAAGTCACTAAATTTCAATGAATGAAAATAAACTCATGTTTACAATGTTTACTGAGGGAATAAATCAAGAGAGAAGTAGAGTCATTTCCTCATAGACGTCTATGGGAGCAGAGGAGTCGCCCCCTGCTGGTCACTACAGAGAAGTAGAGTCATTTCCTCATAGACGTCTATGGGAGCAGAGGAGTCGCCCCCTGCTGGTCACTACAGAGAAGTAAGAGTCATTTCCTCATAGACGTCTATGGGAGCAGAGGAGTCGCCCCCTGCTGGTCACTACAGAGAAGTAGAGTCATTTCCTCATAGACGTCTATGGGAGCAGAGGAGTCGCCCCCTGCTGGTCACTACAGAGAAGTAGAGTCATTTCCTCATAGACGTCTATGGGAGCAGAGGAGTCGCCCCCTGCTGGTCACTACAGAGAAGTAGAGTCATTTCCTCATAGACGTCTATGGGAGCAGAGGAGTCGCCCCCTGCTGGTCACTACAGAGAAGTAGAGTCATTTCCTCATAGACGTCTATGGGAGCAGAGGAGTCGCCCCTGCTGTCACTGGAGAGAAGTAGAGTCATTTCCTCATAGACGTCTATGGGAGCAGAGGAGTCGCCCCCTGCTGGTCACTACAGAGAAGTAGAGTCATTTCCTCATAGACGTCTATGGGAGCAGAGGAGTCGCCCCGTGCTGGTCACTACAGAGAAGTAGAGTCATTTCCTCATAGACGTCTATGGGAGCAGAGGAGTCGCCCCCTGCTGGTCACTACAGAGAAGTAGAGTCATTTCCTCATAGACGTCTATAGGAGCAGAGGAGTCGCCCCCTGCTGGTCACTACAGAGAAGTAGAGTCATTTCCTCATAGACGTCTATGGGAGCAGAGGAGTCGCCCCCTGCTGGTCACTACAGAGAAGTAGAGTCATTTCCTCATAGACGTCTATAGGAGCAGAGGAGTCGCCCCCTGCTGGTCACTGCACAGAATGCAGGTATTTGATATGAAAGTCCTCCTGATAGATTTACATATATTTATATAAGCTCTCAATCTTCCCTCCACTGTCTGCTGCTAGTGTGTGTGTGTGTGTGGGGGGGGGGGGGGGGGGGGGGGGGTAGTAACTGGGGAGGAACCGGGACAGGGTTATTTCTGGAGCGGCTCTCCGGTCCAGAGACCCGACAGCTGAGTATCTGCCAGAGAGAAGTCTGTCCCTGATCCCAGACCAGATCCAGGTCCTGACCATCGACGACCTTCAGCGCACACACACACACACACACACACACAGTGAAAAGCACGTACCTCTAGATGTGTTGGAACGTGATAAACTGAAGTGCTCCTTGTTGTCCTGTTTGTTGTTATTACTTCTGTAACTTTTAACTAAATTATAAATCTCGACGTGGACACTTTGATGGAGAACAGCTGTCTGATCAGCTGGAGGGGAAATCAGGACGCATTGAGGCTCCCTCTGCTGCTTTGATGAAGAACTGTAGGACATGAAGGACATACATACGTTTATCTTCACTACAGTTATAGTCTGAAAAACTGCAAAAAACAATATAATAATAATAATAGAATTCTAATGTCCAGACAAACAACAAAAAAAAAAAACCTGCCAACAACAAAAAGCCTGAGTGGGATGAACGTCTCCAACGCTTCATCCTGAGGGGACCATGAATATTAAATTAAGATCCAGCTATCAGTCGTTGTGATGTTCTCCCTGAAACTATAAACGATGACGTGTCACATGACCCTTTGTGTCCAACTCGGACTCCGGTAACTCTGCTCGGGTCCAAACGGACTCAAAAACACGGAGGAATAAAGTGTGAAGGAAAGACTTCCTGGTTTATTTTTGTACAAAATGGAACACTCAAACATTGACATAGCAGATAACTGAACTTGGACTCCTCCTCCAGGGAACGCTCAGAATCCCCAGGAGACACCGACCGAGGCAGAAGGTCAGTCGGCGGTCCTCGCTTCCCTCCAGTCACAGAGGGTCAGAGGTCAGGAGTCTCCAGTCATGATGGACAGGAACTCGTCCTGGTTTACTGCAACAACAAGTTTTGTCAAGAAATCTTGTTGAATATACGTCATTATTTTACAAATGAATTAATTGATCTTATTTAACGGTTTATTTTAACTTCACACACCAGCAGATTGTCAAAAATGTATTTTTCAGTCTCCTAAATGTCACGGTGACGTCCTCAAATGTCCCAAATAAATGCAGCTGAGCCACCAGGTGGCGGTACAGACGTTAGTGATTCATTGTGGCTCCTTAATGCCAAAATGCTGTTACACACTTCAAAGCTTCATTCTGTCTACTGACCAGCAGGGGGCGACTCCTCTGGTCCCATAGAGGTCTATGAGCTGGACACCGTGTATTTCAGGACTAGTCCCCCTTGTACTTCTAGTACTCCTCGTAGCACTACTCGTGGTACTAATACCACCTGAGGACTCACTCTCTCCGTCTCCGTCGTGGTCGAACTCGTCGATCATCCCTCGCAGCTCCTCGTCGCTGACGTCCTCCCCGAGCTCCCGGGCGACCCGCCTCAGGTTCCTCAGGCTGATCCGCCCGGACTCGTCGTCGTCGAACAGCCTGAAGGCCTTCAGGATCTCCTCCCTGGGGTCCCGCTCCAGGATGCGGTCCGTCACTGCGGGGGGGGGGGCTCGTGTTAGCGATCCGCGGGAGGGGCGCCGCACTGACACCACAAAGAGCCGAACTCACCGACTTCGTTGAAGTCCTGGAAGGAGATCTTTCCGGTCCCGTCCCGGTCGTAGTCCCTGAGGATCTTCAGGACGTCCACCTTCTTCACCTCGAAGCCGAGCGCGCGCATCGCCACCTAGGGATCAGCTTATGGTGACGTTTACCTTCTGACGTGCACATGTCGTCTTCTAATACAATCCCCAAAAAAAGAAAGTCCCGCTGGACATCCGAGGACGGTTAAAATAAACCATTTACGTAATCTGATGACTGTCCGTGACACTCTGATATTAGCAGTACTATTTGACATTTGATGTAAAAACACTATCAATCACTGTTCATTTGTCAGTTTCTTAATACAAAGGAGACTAAAACTAACTATTATTTTAATTATCATAACATTTATGTTGCAGACTCGCGTGCACTTGTTTAAAAGGAACACTTGTAGGATCAGATGTTCTCACCTTCAGCTCGTGGTAGTCGATTTCTTTGTCTTTGTCGGTGTCGAACAACTCGAAGGCTTCTTTGATTTCGTGTTTCTGATCCTCCGTGAGCTCCTTCCTCTTCCTGCGCTCGGCCCTGCAGGGAGAACCAGCTTCAACCAGACGTACCTTCACGGTTTTACTTTAAGACATATTTATGCAGCTGATGCAAGATGGAACCTCAAGTATTTGAGTCACTTTTTATATTTGCTTTTTAGGATAATTGTGATAGATAACAACTTGTGTGCATGAAGAAAACTTATCCTTATACATGTGAATATGTCATCATATATACTTGACTTTTAATTAACTAAGTTAACTGATTATATAATTCAGCTAACTGAATATATCATTTTGAACAATCAAATTACTACTTTAAATATTCGATAGAGCTGTAAAGACTTTTAATAGTGTGTGTAATAATAATTAGCATTACTTTCCTGTCCATAAGATAACCCTCTAGTTGTGTGCACCTAAGAGCTAGCAAACTAACTAACAACTAAAACAGGACTAAAACGTGTCTACTGTCAACAAACAGTAGTTAATAAAACAGAAAAGAGGAAAATAAAGAAGCTACGGAAGCCGCAAGCTATCATCTGCTAACACGGAGGAGGATAGCTAAGCATGCTAACGTCAGCTAACGTCTCGTGCAAAACCGCTGTTGGATAGATTAACAATAGTAACTGTGATAGAGAGCTTTACCTTATAGACAGACTCATCCTGGTGGTTTTAAAGACGCTAAAACGCAAAAACAACGCGTTATCTTACGCTCAACACACGGACATCAGCGACAGCAACAACACAACAATCAAGCCGCTCTCGAGGAGACGCTTCCTATTGGTCGCCGGTCACTAGGCAGCGGTAAGGTGATCTCTGATTGGTTAGCGTCAGAGCCGGTCTTCCCTCTTCTTCTTCTTTGTCTTTTTAATGCAGATGGAATCCTGAAAGCTGCGCTACTGGTTTCATGTGGAGAGAGTTGAGTATTACATCATTCAGAGGTCGCTGGTACTATAGATATATATATAAAGGGTAGAGTATGTATCTCTACCAACACAATGTTATGGGTGAGCGAGCTGGCTGTGGCAAGATGGCCGCCATGTGCGGACGTTCGACTCCGTTGGCCGGCAACGCGGACGAGACATCTAGTCTTTGTATATGTCTATGGCTACGGTGGCCCTGAGGTGCAATACGGCAAGTAGGATAAAAACAACAAAATTAACTCCTTACGGAAAGGGTAGGGCCTTATAGCAGAGGACAGACCCTTCTGATTGGACAGAGGGACTGTCTGTCTTTTAACAGGAAGTGATGCAGGGCTCTCAAGTGTCACGCATTGAGCGAGACACTTACGCACTCCCGCCACACATCCAACTCCTCACGCCAAGGAATCGGACTCCGGTCCCCGAGCCGTGTCGGCCGTGGCGTCCACCGGCCGTAGCGTCCGCGGTACCCCCCCCTTCCCTCCTTTTATTTACTTTTATTTACAACACCTAAATATAATTGAACAACAAAACAGCGTTAAAACAATGGTGAAACACTAGTGGGACACCTTTAAGACACTGGTAAAACATCGCCATCTCTCTGTGACTTCCTGCTGCGTCACTTCCCCCCCCATCACAGGCTCTCAGTCCCGCCCCTCATTTATTGATTGACAGAATATCTAGAAAGCGGCATTTCTCAGCTTTCAGAATCCGATTGTGCAAGAGTCACGGTAATTTGAATCCTCCATGTCACTTTCCATCAACGGCGAAAGGCTTTCGAAGAGGGTTAAAAGACAGTCAGTCTTGTCCAATCAGAAGGGTCCGTCCTCTGCTATCTGCTATAAGGCCCTCCCCTTTCCGCAAGGACTTAATGTCAATGTGTTTTCCTATTTGGCGTTGTGCTTTGCTCTTCAGGGCCACCATAAGTTGTGTAACACCTTGAACATGATTTCTGATAAACATGTTAGCATGTTAGCCTGCTGACGCTAGCCTTTTAGCCTTTAGCCCTTTTTTTCAATAGAGCAAAGAGATCTTCATGACAAGCGTTCATGATATGAACAAGTGTGAGTTATGACTTAATTATTCATGTGTCCCCTGACGCTAAACCCTAAATACAAAGAGACGTTTTCCCAGAGCTGCTGGCTAATCCTTCCTGTCCACGTTAGCTGCTCCAGCCCCCCCTCCCTTGTTGAACTCTGACCTCCTTCTCCCCACTTATCGTGTGATTTCCACAGAGGAGCCACCGGGTCTCCTCTTATCTCAGCCTGCGCCTCCTGCCTCACATGTGTGCGCTGGAGATAGAGGAGTTCTCTTCCTCTCCACGACGTCATCGTCCTCCTTGGTCTCCTCTGCTCTCCATCATCAGCCACCAATCAAACACAATGAGTCCTCAATAAAGAACCGATCCAACAGATCTCAGACCCCAAGGTGATCTCCCAGAGCGACTGATTCCACCCACATGTGTAACTGATGAAAGGAGCACGGGGATCATTCCTTCTCCCTTTAGAGGATGTTTGTATGGATTTTGTGAAAGTCTTTGTCTAAATGTGGATGCTTTCTGTCTATTCGTAGTCTGTGTGTTGATAGTGCCGCTCTTTTTGAGGAGTGTGTGCACTATGAACAGAAACTAGGATTCAGTCCACAGTAGGTCTGGATCAGGAGGTCTAGAAGAGGTCTGGATCAGGAGGTCCAGAGGAGGTCTGGATCAGGAGGTCTAGAAGAGGTCTGGATCAGGAGGTCTAGAAGAGGTCTGGAGGAGGTCTGGATCAGGATGTCTAGAAGAGGTCTGGAGGAGGTCTGGATCAGGGGGTCTAGAAGAGGTCTGGAGGAGGTCTGGATCAGGAGGTCTGCCGGTATCACTCAGATCTTGAGAGATCATAATTCAGCTTTTGAGATCAAACGAGCATCTTGTGGAACGTTCAGAAGGAACATGAAGTTATTTTCAGGTAAAAGTGATTCCTTTCATTGCGAAGGAATTCTGAACAGTTCCTCTAGAAGAACCCTGATGATTTCCTGAAGATGATTTCTTGAAGATGATTATCTGAATAGGATGTTAAGATCTGTGTAGTTACTAACTCATCGTAATCATTAAATGAGGTCTTAATATTCAGACTCATTTAGGATATGTGTGATAGAATACGCAGTTATCTGCTTGTGGAAGTGAGATCATTCCCCCCGACCCCCCTCACGTGAGACATCTGATCACTACCTCGAGGATGGGGCCACTTTGTTTCTTCCTCTGCTATCTCACTCTTTGTTTTTGCACACTGACCGTGGGAAGAGCTGTGTACATTTTTGCAGGAGGAGGAGGGGCGTTTGTGTGTCAGTAGAAGCTGAACCGCACCCTAAACCAGTACAAAGACCCTCTGCCCCCCCAACACCTCAGCTCAGGGTTCAATGAACTAAGACAAAGTTGGACTCACTTTGCATAATCACATTTATGAGGTTTTACTAAACTCAACGCAGTTACTTATGATTTTACAGACTCCACTTCACAGACTTCACTGACTCCACTTCACAGACTTTCACAGACTCCCTCTTCACAGACTCACTTCACAGACTTCACTGACTCCACTTCACAGACTCCTCTTCACAGACTCCACTTCACAGACTTCACTGACTCCACTCCACGACTCCCCTTCACAGACTCCACTTCACAGACTCCACTTCGCAGACTTCATTGACTCCACTTTCACAGACACCCCTTCACCGACTTCACTGACTCCCCTTCACAGACTCCACTTCACTGACTCCACTTGACAGCCTTCACTGACTCCACTTCACAGACACCACTTCACAGACTCCCCCTCACAGACTTCACAGGCTCCACTTCACTTCAAAGACACCACTTCACAGACTTCCCTTCACAGACTCCCCTTCACAGACTTGACTTCACAGACACCACTTCACATACTTCACATCACAAACTCCACTTCAGAGACTCCCCTTCACAGACTTCACAGGCTCCACTTCACTTCAAACAACACTTCACAGGCTCCACTTCACTTCAGACTTCACAGACTCCACTTCACAGACACTTCACAGACTTCCCTTCACAGACTCCACCTCACAGACTTCGCTTCACAAACTTCACAGGCTCAACTTCACTTCACAGACTCCACTTCATAAACTTCACAGACACAACTTCACAGACTCCACTTCGTTTAGGGCTTAACGGCCCAGAAACATGCAGATTCCTCTCAGATCCTGAGGACCGCTTCTTGTTTGTCATCAAGGTGCTTCCACATTCTTGAACTTGTTCAAGTGTTCAGGTTTTTTCCTGAGAGAGAAACTTTGTGGCTTTGTTTGTTTCGACAATCAAACTAAGAAATAGAATAATAGTGTTTTTTCTTTTCATCTGGTTGTTAAAAGCACAGTCTGCACAACAGAATCATCTATTTTAAGTAAGTACACTTAAAATAACCCGGTTTGAACAAAGAAGGAGTGGCAGAGAACCTCCTTCTCGTCCGACATGTCAACAGTTCGTCATTTGAGTCCAGTGCACGTTTCTGTGAATATGTCATCAATATGTTACCACGTCTTCAGTTAGGGCCACAGACATGCAGGGTGCCCATGTGACCTCTGACCGCCGACATTCTAATCTCTTCATCTTTGAGTCCAAGTGGACAGGTGTGTCAAATTTGGAGAAATTTTGTCCAGGTGAAATTGGATAGGATGGAACAGCAGAACTCATTATCTATACTTTACAAAGGACCTGTAGTGTCTGACCTGCATCACGGACAGAAATCCTTTGTGTCTTGAACATTCCTGCCTGACTTTCCTCCTTTGTTTGGGAGAGTTACAGTTTTAGTCAAAGTGACCAATCTGAAGAGTCCCGCGGGATACGCAAGCATCTCAATGTGTAGTCCCAAGAATGATTTTCTTTCACCTTGAGAAGATTCATCGCTTTCAGCTGAGACACTTGTCTGCTGTTCGTCTTCTGGCCACCGGGGGCAGCAGAAACAACACCTGATGAGTCCAACATTCTCTCTCTTTTGGTCTCCACCAGCTTTTTGGTTGCTCGATGGTCCACTGCGTTCCTGTGCTTGTCTAGAGTGACTTTTAACAGCTTGGTCATTACAAATAGTAATTTGATCCCTTGTTAATATAAAAAGTCTCACAGCTCTCAATGTGTGTCTTTAGGATTAAATCATCCCACAAGAGGAGCCGACTCGCTGGAGGTCTGAACTCAGCAGATGATTCACACCCAAAAAACAACACTTCACTAATTCCCTCAAACCAGAGTTAAAATGCAACATACACATAAATCCAGAAACATCCAATATAATATTGAAAAGGTTTATTATTCATTACTTTGACCTTTGAGTCTTACACAATGAAGTAAATGGAGAGATTACAGGATCATTTATTGTCTTTGTAATGTAAAATAATTTATGAACTGGAGAATTAGTGAGTTGTCCAACTCTGAGCCCTGTTACCGTGACGATAAGATAAGGGAGGGAGTCTGAAGCAGAACTGGATGGATGGAGGCGGAATGTGATAATGAATTCTCTGGGGTTCCGTTGTGAAACATCGTGGTTCTTTCTGAACCGGGTCCAACCCAGCGCCGAGGAACTGTCCCCAATTACACTCACCAGTGTCCACCTGGACAAGAGACAAGGAGTCCACTCGGGGTTCTTCCTGGAGTGCTGAGGCTCCACAGCACCACGTGCTTCTGAAGAACCCTTTTTGCAAGGTTTCCATTTAGAACCAGTTCCAGTCAGAAAAAAGTCTTTCTCCCGACCCTTGTTGGAAGAAGACAAGATGACAAACGATGGGACCTCGGTTCTGCAGGGTTAGAGGAGCTCTTATTGGGACATTAACGGGTTCTAGAATGCGAATCAGTAAAGTACCTTGTAACGGTGAAAGACGCACTTTATGGGACACGTGCACTTTAACCTGTTTATGGGACCGGAGGCTCGTCTTCGTCTGTATGAACAGCACGGACCGCGCAGCGGTGCAACGGGTCACCGGAGGCTTTGACTTTAATTTCACCTGCACGCGTCGGAGCGCGCGCACACGTTTCCTGCTCTGCGATGCACACGCACGCGCCCCCCGCTGCACGAACGTGCGTGAATCATCGCTTCATTCCGCTGCTGATCGCCGGAGAGGTGAGACGTCTCCGCAGAGCAGGTACAGTCCCTCTATTCCTCTTTACCTTAGTCCCTCTATTCCTATTTACCTTAGTCCCCCTATTCCTCTTTACCTTAGTCCCCCTATTCCTCTTTAGCCTGAAGTAGTCCCTTTATTCCTCTTTGTCTTTAAGTAGTCCCCCTATTCCTCTTTAGCCTGAAGTAGTCCCTTTATTCCTCTTTGTCTTTAAGTAGTCCCCCTATTCCTCTTTAGCCTGAAGTAGTCCCTTTATTCCTCTTTGTCTTTAAGTAGTCCCCCTATTCCTCTTTAGCCTGAAGTAGTCCCTTTATTCCTCTTTGTCTTTAAGTAGTCCCCCTATTCCTCTTTGTCTTAGTCCCTCTAGTCCTCTTTACCTTTAAGTAGTCTCTCTATTCCTCTTTAGCCTGAAGTAGTCCCACTATTCCTCTTTACGTCTCTTTTTACATATTCCCTCTATTCCTAAAAATAAAATAATCAGTTACATCATCATACTTTTAATAAGCAGCTTCACTGTAAATTTCAGATTAAAAATAAAAAATATATTATCTATTTTCCAGCTTCTGCCTTTTCATGTGATAAATACTCGGCTTCCTCTAAGACGGCACTGATTTTGTGGATGGGGGGGTTTGGAGGCGGGAAAGAGACCGATTGTTGTGGCGCCCTCACTTTCTTTGTGTTTGTATGCAAAATCCCAGCAGTTTGAAGACATTCATTTACAGTTCCAATGGTTTTTTTTCAGCTCCCTTTTCGAGCCCCGGGCGAAAACCAGTTGTTTGAAGCTTCGTTCTCATAAACCAAGATTCTATTTTTCTGTTGGGGGGGGCGGGACTGAAGGGGCGGTCCATTGACCCACTGTTTCTCCCGTCCAGGAAATCAGTGAACCTTGTTTGGTGTAAAGGAGGCTCGTTTGTTGAGGAAGTTAGACCTGTGAGGTTTTTGTACGTGACAGCGTTTTTACTCGATGAGTCGGTGAGTTCACAGCGACTGCGTTTACATCCCATATTATTATGGATTATTTTATTAGAAGGTGCAGAGAACTCAAACTCCTAATGTCCCTCTGTGTCTCCCTGTGTCCTCCATGGCTCACCTAATTAAGGGCCACGAGGGGGGGGGGGGGGGGGGGGTCTGCAACAACCTCTCTCTATGTGCTGGCTTAGACATGGCGGCTCCACCCGGACCCCCACCCAACACCCCCCCACCCGGCACAGACACAGCAGAGCCTCTGTACACGCTGCTGCTAGGCAACCGGGGTCAAATGAGCTGTACGTGTTCATGAAGAAGAAGACTCTTCCTCAACACATGGACACGTGTGTGTGTGTAATAGTGTGTGTGTGTGTGTGTGTGTTCACATATATATATATACGAGTGTATAAAGCAGGGGATGCTTTAGGGGGCGGGGCCTACGCGCTGATTGACAGGTCTCTACCACGGCGTCTCCTCAGTCCAGATGTGCTCACTTCCTGTTCACTGGTTGCAAAAAAACGACAAAAGATGTCAATGGTGAAATTAACGAAGTGGTCACCATGACGACGTCACTTTGTTATTTACCGTTTGTTCGACGGTCAATCTTTTCTCAGAGAGACAGGCGACAGACCTGAAGATGAACATTCATTCATTTTCTTTATTTCACCTGCATCAAAGCAGGAAGTAGTCGTGGCGCAGAGGTAGAGAGGGAGCGCTGGTGGTTCGAGTCCCGGCTGCTTCATGGCTCAAGTTAAAGTGTCCCTGAGCAAGTCACCTGACCCCTGATGGCGTGTTAAAGATGTAACGTGAGTCGCTTTGGATGAAAGCGTCATTGACCTGTGACGTAGTTCTCTGCTTTGGTAACAACACTTGGCTGCGGCTGAACTTTGACCTCCAGTACCCAGATTCCTGGAATAGACAGCGAGTGAAACCCAGTGGCATGCTGGGATACAGATGTCAGCTGGATGGTGAAGGCCAGAGAGAGTACATTGGTTAAAGGTTTAAAGTGACACACACCACTGGCCCCTTTGTGCCGCTCAGAGGTTTAATGTTCATAAGATTCACGAGGAGGATTAGGCGAGGAAGAGGAGTCTTCATCACAGTGAGGGATTACCTCCTCTCCAGCAGACAGATGCAGCCAGAGGTGGAATGTAGGAGTGGAGCAGAGGTCATGAAGCCTTTCTCTCCCCTCAGATGGTCACATGTTAACGGGTTGTCGGCACCTGTGAGACCTTCTGAGGTCCCTTTGCACGGAGCGTACCGATTGGACGTCGTGGCCCTCCAGGCCCCTCCCTCTTCACAGGGCGCCTGTGCTCCTCACTGAGGAGCCTTTGTGGCCTGAACCCACCGGGGGAAACATTTGGGAGTGTTCTGGTGAATACCTGTGTGTGTGTGTGTGTGTGTGTAGGGTAAATACCCCACCCGTCCCTTCCTACCACACCCACACACGCACATACACACAGACACACACGCACACGCACACGCCACACACACACAGGAGGTGGACTAACAGAGTTGTTGCATCATGTCTGAATATAGAACCTGGATCGACGTCAGTCTGAAAGAAAATAGACGAGTTCAGCTTCACTAAAACCCCCCTAAAAGGAGTCTGTGTTGGGAGGAGGAGGAGGTGGAGGAGGAGGTGGAGGAGGTGGAGGTGGGGGGGGGGGTTGGGGGGCTTCCGCAGGGTTTAACATGGTGAATGAAACAGAACTTCCTTATACACAGAAGTCAAAGGGACAGTGGTGACGTTTAGGAGGGTATGAAGTTATTATCTGTGAATCATGAGAAAAACTCATGTTAAAGAACATCACCTTATGTTCTAGAGTCTGTAAACCAGCTAGAAGACATGAACGTTTAATGTGGGATGACGCTTAACCCAACATGGCTCCTGTAGCTGCGACTACAGTGGGTGAATCTTAGTGACTGATGGCAGGTGTCACTGTGTGTGGTTCTCCTGTCATCAGGGTGTGAATGGGTGTGAATGGGTGAATGATGTCATGTAGTGTTAAAGCGCTTTGAGTGGTCGGAAGACTAGAAAAGCGCTATACAAGTACAGTCCATTTACCATTTACCATTACATCCAGGACCTGGTCCAACACGACACCCCGACCTCTGACCTCTCCGCTCTGCATGTGATAAACTGCTTGTTCCTCCTCACTGAGAGCAAAACACTCGACTAGATCTCCACTCTTTGCTGTCCTGCTCCTAAATGGTGGAAGGAGGTCTGTGAAGACATCAGGACCACAGAGAGCCTTCACATCTTCAGACTAAAGACACACCTCTTCAGACTCTACCTCCACTAACACACTAACTAACTGCAGCACTTACATTGGACTTATAATGGTTCTTATCTACAGCAAGTTGATGAAATTGCACTTTCTTGTTTCTTGTTCTTCTGAGTTTGTGTCCTTATGGTTGAAATGTACTTTGGATAACAGCGTCAGCTAAATGACATGTGATGTGATGTGATGTGATGTGATGTGATGTAATGTAATGTAATGTAATGTAATGTAATGTAATGTAATGTAATGTAATGTGATGTAATGTAATGTAATGTAATGTAATGTAATGTGATGTGATGTAATGTAATGTAATGTAATGTAATGTGATGTGATGTAATGTAATGTGATGTGATGTAAAGAGAGCAAATGTAACATGAAGGTAAAGAGGTGAGAATATACAAAATATAATGTACACTTAAAGGGCACCTTTGTTGTCTAAAATACCACACAGGTATAACGGTGCTCATGTACTTTGTACTTCTGCCCTCTTATCTGCCCCGTGTTGTCGGCTGGGTGAGCTGAATGCTCTCCAGAGGGGGGGCAGATAGCACGATGAAGCTATTTACACCCCCAGGTCTGGATCGCGGTGCTGTCGCCTCCTCGTGGTTATCTCATCGCAGAGTGAGGAGTCAAACTATTTCTAAACATATGAATATACATAATATTTACAAGCGATGATCTGGAGGTCAACAACATGGAGCTGTGGTCCTCACTGGAACATCTGACCGTGAGGAGTTTCCCTCTAGGGCCTCCTAAAGGTATCGCTTTAAAGGGACATTACGTCCTCCTCAACTGCATGTCTACATCACATCAGATCACTTTACATCACATTACATCACATTATATCACATTACATCACATCACATCACATTACATCACATCACATTACATCACTTTATATCACATTACATCACATCACAGAGATCACATCACATTACATCACATTACATCACATTACATCACATCACATTACGTTACATCACATGTCATTTAGCTGACGCTTTTATCCAAAGTGACTACCATAAGAAAACAAACCCAGAAGAACAAGAAACAAGTGCAAGCCAATTTACAACTTGCTGTAGATAAGAACATTATAAGTCCAATGTAAGTGCTGCAGTTAGTTAGTGTGTTAGTGGAGGTAGAGTGTGAAGAGGTGGGTCTTTAGTCTGAAGATGTGAAGGCTCTCTGTGGTCCTGAGCTTGTTTACCGATGACTAGCATGCTAACAGGCTGCGCTAACACGGTGAACACAAAGTCTGTCTGCAAGAAGTGGACGTTGTCATGGTGACGAATTCTTCAACAGTCCAATACTGCGTTGTTTCCCTACAGAAGGCTGTTTGACGACACTGCGCTTCTGGTGTCACAACCCTTAAGTTCTGGTTCCTCTTCCTCTTCCTCACTCGCCACCTTCAGTGTGTGTGTGTGTGTGTGTGTGTGTGTGTGTGTGTGTGTGTGTGCGTGTGCGTGTGTTATTGTGCTGACAGTAGGAGCTCCACCTGGCAGAGGAGGCCGACGCAGCAGCAGTAGGGACTGAAGGGAGATAAGATGGGGGGTCAATCTGAATGACTGCTTCCTCTCACACACTCACACACACGCACACTCACACACACTCACACACACGCACACGCACGCACGCACGCACACACACGCACGCACGCACACACACACACACACGCACGCACGCACACACACACACACACGCACACACACACACACACGCACACACACACACACTCCTGAGCCTTAAAATACGTCAAAAAGCTCACAATTTTAAAATGAAATAATTTAGAAAATAAATAAACTATTGGTTTCAATCATTTATTTTGTGGTTTGTATCCACGAAGCACTTTGATTGGTCCTTTTTAGTAGAATATATTAGTAGAACTACTTCTCCTAAATTAATAATAAAGTAATGTCAGATTGTCAGTAATGAACTGGTTCGTGTTAATAAACCGTTTTCTAATCTATGAAGTGTTTTGAGGAACCTTCAACTAATCTGTCGTACCAGTGAAATATGAATGAATGAAATATTCACCGTTAAACTCGATTCAGACTTCTGTTGAATGTCGTCATCGACGACCACGTGACCAGAGAGCGACTCCCTGACAGGGGAGTGTGTGTAGAGGACGTGCTGCAGTGTGTGTGTGTGTGTGTGTGAGGCCTGAGGTGTGAGCGTGACGCTGCACTGAGTCGACCAGCGGAGTCACCGGAACTGTGTGTGTGTGTGTGTGCGTCAGAGCGTGTGTGTGTGTGTGTGTGTGCTGCAGCGTGTGTGTGTGTGCTGCAGCGTAGGCGTGTGTGTGTGTGTGTGTGTGTGTGTGTGCTGCAGCATAGGCGTGTGTGTGTGTGTGTTGCAGCGTAGGCGTGTATGTGTGTATGTGTGTGTGTGTCCTCACAGGACGTCCCAAAGTGGTCTTTGCAGAGTTCTCCTCAGACACTGGAGGTGTCGGTGCTGCAGCTTGTGCTCCATTGACCTTCCTCCCTTCCTCCTCATCCTCTTCCTCCTCCTCCTCCTCCTCCTCATCCTCTTCCTCTTCCTCCTCCTCCTCCTCCTCCTCCTCCTCCTCATCCTCATCCTCTTCCTCTTCCTCCTCCTCCTCCTCTACGCAGTGATCGTACCTTTCCTCCGCTGACAGACGATGAGTCTCGTGCTCCTCCTGCTCGCCGCGTTGACCTCAGTCGGCGCGGCGGCCCCCGAGCTGGACCTCCTGTACCCCGAGCTGGAGCTCTCCAGGACCATCTACGTCACAGGTGAGGGGGGGGGGGATGGTTAGATGATTAGATGGTTAGATGATTAGATGGTTAGATGGTTAGATGATTAGATGGTTAGATGGTTAGATGATTAGATGGTTAGATGGTTAGATGATTCGATGATTAGATGGTTAGATGGTTAGATGATTAGATGATTAGATGGTTAGATGGTTAGATGATCAGATGGTTAGATGGTTAGATGTTAGATGGTTAGATGGTTAGATGGTTTGATGAAACATCTTCTTCTTTGAGGTTCTTGAGGAAAACATCTGACATTTAGGCTTTCTGATTATTAATGTATTAACGTGTTTAACTTACATCATTTGAGTGACATTAAACAGAAGTAATAACTATCAACTAATAAATAAAACATTTAACTAAAGACGGGTAAGTAACTAGTGCATCTAATCAATTACAATTAAGAATATAAGAAATACATATTTAACAACTTTATTTAAATAATTAGATAATTAATGTTTGTTTTAACTAAATAACTAATAATTTAATAACATTGGCTTAATAACCCTAACATAACAATAAATATTTACATTATCAACCAATAAATCTTGTTTTTTTTACTTATTAGTTACTTAATAACTACATAACTAAGTCACTAACAAACTAAGTCACTAACAAACTAAGTCACTAACAAACTAAGTTACTAACTAACTAAGTCACTAACTAACTATGTCACTAACTAAGTCACTAACTAACTAAGTCACTAACTACGCTCACTAGCTGACGTGTCGTGAGGACGAAGCTTCAGACGTAAACAAAAAGCTGCTTCTGATGATTCAGGAACTGAGGAAGCAGAAAAAAGAAAAAGTCAGCTAGAGGATCAATGAGCTGATCGATCAGTGTGTGTGTGTGTGTGTGTGTGTGTGTCTGTGTGTGTGTCTGTGTGTGTGTGTCTGTCTGTGTGTGTGTGTGCTCTCACACACTGAAACGGTGCGCTGGTCTAACAGGAATGCTAACGCTAACAGGGAATGCTAACGCTAACGAGAGCGTGTGTTCAGGTTTATGATTGACAGATCATCATCGTTATTATTATGGGATGTTGTTATTGAACTGTTTGCTTATTGGTTTACCTTGAAAAGGAGATTTCAATATTAATATTTCAATCCAACGTGGTTAGCCTAGCTTAGCATGACGACAGGAGGCAAATGGAAACAACACCGCTAAAGCTCAGAGTATATAAATGTGGATGAAATAAATACTTTGATCACATGAACATGCCGGCGTTCGTGTTCATGTAACATTTACTTTCAAAGCGTGGACCGATCCCCCACCCGCCTGCGTCCAGTGTCTATGCTAAGCTAGGCTAACAGAGTTTTCTTTCATCTGTTGGAAAGAAGACAAATAAACGCTTTCCCCAAATGTCAAACTGCCTCTTTAACTGTTTGTATTGTGAAGCGTTTGTAGCTAACAGTTCATTCGCTGTTGCAGAGGATGGACCCCGCCTCTCCGTGGCTGCCGAGCAGCTGACGGTGGCGTCGCGGCGAGGAGGCAACGCCACGCTGCCGTGCCGGATCCAGATGGACCAATCGCTGACTCCCAGCCGGAAGATGAGGATCAAATGGACCAAGATGACGTCAGACTACCTGAAAGAGGTCACTGCTTCTTTCATATGTTGATTCTTATGAAGCTTCTGATGCGTTTCACCGGCGCGTACCTGTGAAGAAGGTTGTGTCTCCTGATGTGAGAACAAACGTCCTTCACAACGGATCAATAACGTAACAATGCTGAACAGAAAGTTTTTTACCTCCTTCAGGTGGACGTGTTCGTCGCCATGGGCGACCACAAGAGGAGCTACGGCAGTTTCCACGGACGCGTCCACCTGCGGGGCTCCTCCCCCTTGGACGCCTCCCTGGTCATCACAGAGATCACCCTGGAGGATTATGGGAGATATAAGTGCGAGGTCATCGACGGGCTGGAGGACGGAACCGTGGTCGTGTCCCTCGACCTGGAAGGTGAGCCTGGGGGGGCGGAAGGGAAGGAGGAGGATGGAGAAAGGATGTAGCAGCTACTCAAGGAGAGGAGGAAGGAGGCAGGGAGGAAGGGAGGAGGAGGAAGGAATGAAGGAGAGAAGGTGAGGACCCCGTTTTGATCCCCTGACCTCCGTCCTCAGGCGTGGTCTTCCCGTACTCCCCCCGTCTGGGCCGCTACAACCTCAACTTCTACGAGGCGGAGCGGGCGTGCCGGGCCCAGGATGCCGTGGTGGCGTCCTTCGAGCAGCTGCACCGGGCGTGGCGAGGGAAGCTGGACTGGTGCAACGCCGGCTGGCTGAGCGACGGCTCGGTGCAGTACCCCATCACCGCCCCCAGGGAGCCCTGCGGGGGCAAGAACACGCTGCCGGGGGTCCGAAACTACGGCCTGAGGGACAAAGACAAGAACCGCTACGACGTGTTCTGCTTCACCGCCCACTACAAAGGCCAGTGTGTGTGTGTGTGTGTGTGTGTGTGTGTGTGCGCGCGTCTTACAAGTAAAAGTGAACGTGAGACCAGGTGTGTCTCAAGCTCCGCCCCTCACAGTTGGGTGTGTTTGGGTCTCCAGGTCGGTTCTACTACCTCATCCATCCCTCCAAGCTGACCTACGACGAGGCCGTGGCGGCGTGTCAACAAGACGGCGCTCAGATCGCTAAGGTCGGCCAGATGTTTGCCGCCTGGAAGCTGCTGGGCTACGACCGCTGCGACGCCGGCTGGTTGGCTGACGGCAGCGTCCGTTACCCGGTGTCCCGCCCCCGCCGGCGCTGCAGCCCCACGGAGGCCGCCGTCAGGTTCGCCGGCTTCCCCGACAAAAAGCACAAGTTGTACGGCGTCTACTGCTTCAAGGGCCAGAACTGAGCGACACACACACGCACGCACGCACACACACACACGGACACACACAGACACACACGCGTGTGGACAAAGAGACCCGTGAGAAACCATTCAAACTGTGGTGCTTTGTTTCTGATTGCCTTTTAAAATCAGTTCACACATATTTAAGGTGTATTTTGTTTAATCAATGCCTTTGGGGGGGGGGGGGTCTGTCATATCACGTGATCAAAAGGCCTCCTCGCGGGACGCCGCCCTCCGGTGTTTGATGTCGTCATTAACGAGCCTGTCGGACCAAACTCCAGCTTCTTTATGTTTAGTAGAACGTTATTATCTAGAAATGTACTTTTGTTTACAAATGTTTTTTTATTATACTGAGATATTTACTTAATTAATTCTTTGTCTTATCGGCCAAAACAATCTGAGCCTCACGAAGCAGAAACCTTAAAACAGAAGAAGCAACGAAGAAGAAGAAGAGAGACCACAAAGAAGAGTAATCAGAGCAGCAGTAGAAAATCTCTCTTCCTGTTTCTCTGCACAGCATGATTAGCTTAGCACATGATTAGCTTAGCACAAAGCAGCGCGCACGCCCCATCTATCCGCCTGCTATTTTTATACTTATAGTGGGAGGGAGTCACGTCCCCGTACGTGACCCCACTGAAAGAATAACATCTAAATCCAGCTTCATCACGGTCTGTCCTTTGAAAGTTTAGGATGTGAAAAGTTGTGTATCGGCGCCTTGACTCGGCTCCGCCCCTTAATCTAACGGGTCCTTGCTTGGATTGGATCTTTAATCAAGTGTCGTGAAAATCAAACCAGTAAATGTAAACTAATTTAAAAAATGACATCAAAACAGTTTTGGCAAGGAAGTGGCTCCATGGAGAAGTTCCTCCAGAGTTCCTCCAGTGTTCCTTCAGAGTTCTTCCAGAGTTCCTCCAGTGTTCCTGCAGTGTTCCTGCAGTGTTCCTCCAGTGTTCCTCCAGTGTTCCTGCAGTGTTCCTCCAGTGTTCCTCCAAGTGTTCCTGCAGTGTTCCTCCAGAGTTCCTCCAGTCTTCCTGCAGAGTTCCTGCAGACTGCTGGGAATCAGCATCCAAACCTTCGTCTAGGTTTTCACTGAAGATCAGCGTGATGATGTCATCACAATGTTTGTGTAAAGTCCAAAACGTTGTGAAAGTCCACAGCTGGACCTCAAGTTACAGTATTTATAGACATGCATGAACATCTTGTAAAATACCTTTTATCTACGTGTTCTTTAACTTTTCTTTGTTTGTTTCTTTTAGTAGTTATTTAAACACAAATAAAGATCTCATCCGAAACATAAGCGACTAGTTTTGACCCTAATTGAGGATTTAAGGATCTCTTCCTGAACCTAAACAAACGTTTCATTTGAAGACGGGTTTGTTTGGAGAAGACTGACTTATGATGGAATAAGTAAACGTCAGGACAGAAGAGGGGGGGCTGCAGGAGGGGACTCTGCTTACCGAAGAGGACTTGCTCCTTTTTAACTTGTTTCTGTCAGTAAACAGTCTGAGGCAGAGGTCTTCTGCAGGGGGGCCGTGGAGGTTCTGCAGGGGGGCCGCGGAGGTTCTGCAGGGGGGCCGCATAATTTTGGTTTCCACAAATTGAAATGCTTCAGAATCAGAATTGTATTTATTGTCTGTAAATACACATTAACATGAATCCAACATATCGTGGAAACGGATACATTGATGGAGGAGACGTCGTCTTTCTGTCCACAGCAGCTCTCATGACATCACAGGCACCAGCCAATCAGATCCACTCATGCTCACGTCTAAAGAGGGCGGAGCTCAAAGATAAAAGATGGGGAACCAAACTCCGTAGATTAGGGGGTCTCTGCTGCATCTCCCCATCGGTTTGGGGTCCTAACCCTGAAAAACGTTGAAGGGTTGGTTTCACATTTTGGGAAAAACCACAGCTGGCAACTTCCTGTTTACACACGAGGTCGTCGCTGTTCCATTTAACCTGCAGAAGAAGAACGAGGGACGTTTGAATGGAACAAATCCATCTGTACCAGTTATATAAACATGTTTGACAATAGTAGGATGACGTTTTAAGATTAAAGCTGAATAAACAGATAACTAGTATTCATTAAACAAACTTCTATTTAATGTTTGAGTTATTAAATACATTTAATAGTTAATTAGTTAAACTAACAGGTTGATTCGCTCTTTGTTAGATATGTGAATTAGCTTAGCTTAGCCTAAAGACTGGAAACAGCTAGCTTAGCATCATTAGATCCATCAATGATCAGCTACAGTGACACAAACAAGACGTTAATCAGTCGCTGGGCGATTTGTTTTAAATGTCGGGCTGTTCATGCTAAGCTAAGCTCAGCTGACTGAGCTCGCTTCATATTCATTAATACGACGCTTCTCGTTTAACTCTCCTGTGAACTGTTTAAATGTAAAGATTTACCTTTTATTTTGTCCGTAATCGGATCGACTCTTAAACCTTAAAGCAGACGAAAGGTCAATAGAACCTGAACTCCGCCTCCATCTCTCCCCACAGGGATCACTGCTTTCTCCCATTACCACAAACGCACCACGTCCAGCGGAGCGAGCTCTGGGCGCGACGGGGTCAGGTGTAGTTCCCGGGTGATGCAGTAATGTCTCAACAAGCTTCTTCCTGCCACCTCTCTGATCCTGACTATCCACGAGCGATATTAACGTTCTGCGGTGTTTGGTCCTTTTGGGTTGACGGAACAACGCAGACTCGTCAAAGTGGTGAAAGATAAAACACGTGTCGGGAGGAGAGACGACGCCGGAGCCAAGATGATGGAGCTTTTCTTTTCATTTACAGTAATTCAAATGAAGGAAGAAACAACGATTACATGAAAATCAGCTCAGATACAGTAAACATTGTAGAATGCTGACGAACAAACATGCAAAAAGGAAAATGAACGAGGAACACAGAACATAATATGCACACTAATAGAACTCGTTGCACATTCTTCACATTCCCTTATTTGTTGGATAAAGAAATCACAGATTCCAGATCTGCTGCAGAAAGCAACATGTTAACAAGCCTTTGGCTCGTAACCCGACACTAAATGTTTAATCCAGAGCAGTTTGGGGCGAAATCCACGGAAAAGAAACTGTGTTCAGATCTGAAAGACCTTCATTCGATCCTCACAACGCATTCATAGTTTTAAAGTATACAATAAGTTAAATTCAAATGGCTTCATATAGTATTTGGAATATATATTCTATGATTAATAGCGAATGCACTTTTAAAGGCGCGCCGCCTTTTAAATCTCACTTCTGTTTAAAAAAATCCCAAAACGCAGCAAAAATATTTTGTACAAAAATCTACACGTAAAAATCAGCTGGTAAAAAATGGGTCATAACGAGCGGCGACGGACCGAATCCCAAAGAAGCGGCGATGAATTGGTGCTCTGTTGGTGGGGCGACGTGACCCAGTGGAGGGCGGAGAAACGTTAAGGGTGGGGCGGCGTTACGACGAGCCGGACCGGGATGAGGTCACGTGTGGGGAGGGCCGGGGTCACGTGTGGGGAGGGCCGGGGTCACGTGTGGGGAGGGCCGGGGTCACGTGTGGGGAGGGCCGGGGTGCCGCCACAAACTGCCCCGTGCTTCTCAAACGACATCTGCGTTGCGGGGATTTCATGCCGGCTCACGGCGACTAGCGGACAATGCTGCCAACAAACAGCAGCAGGGCGAACATCTGGTAGCTGGTGGGGGCCGCGTGGTGGTGGTGGTGGTGGGGTAGCTTTCTGCCCGTGGGGGCTTTATCCGCCGCGCTGGGATCCGGTGCAGCGGTTCGCTGCTATCCGTCTCTCTCCGAGGCGTCGAGACGGCAGAGACGGGTTTACGGAGCACCGGTGGGATCAAACCCAAATGCAGAGAAGCATTTAGTCTTTTTACCAGTCGGTCAAACACGCGTGCGTTGATCTTGTCTTGAGATCCAATCAGTGAGGCGCATGGTTGTATTAATGAAGGTGGACACCAGAGGGCGGAGTTAAAGACTGCAGACCACTGATTGACGATTTAAGGATGTTTTTTTGTAATTAACAGGAAGTGATCATCACCCTCAATGTGAGAATATAAACCCCGGTCACATGGCTTCTATAAAGGACCTGGGGGGCCAATGAGGAACGCGTCCCTCGTCCTGTACAGAGGCGTCGGTCCGGCTCGTCCCTCCACCGACGCCTCCGGAACCGCGTTTGGACGTCACTGTGAAGCTAAGCTAAAGGAAAAGACGCCTGGCGCAGACGAGATCAGTGTCTCATCTGGTTGGCGCTCTGCTGCCTCCTCGCTCTCTGGGGAGGCGTCCAGCGGCTCAGCATGGAGCTGGGGCCCTGCTGCTGCTGTGGACTGGGTTTCTGGGGGACGTGGTGGACCTGGTGGACCTGGTGGTCCTGGTGGTGGAGGCGCCTGAGAGCCAATGACTGGCTGTAAGTTGCTGCTGAGGATTGAGAAGGAAAACAAGGGCTGTTAAGGGAGGAAACGTCTGTGAAGGCCTCGCTGGTTCTGGTCCGAACACTCACGGCTTGTGCAGGTGACCTTCGGGGCGTCCCACTGGCCGTCGGCCCGGCAACGGATGGTGGGCGCGTGTCTCTGGACGAAGCCCCGCTTGCAGTGGTAGCGGAGCAGAGCGTTGATCTCGTAGCGAGGCTTCAGGGCCCCGAACACCCGGGTGTCCCTCACCGCGGGGGGGGGCCCGCACGACACTGGAGGCAGAGAGCGGACGGACCCCTTATTGATCCTACCGACACCGAGAATCCGCTTCCTTTTTGTGAGACTTTAATGCAACATAGTGTCCTTGGTGGTGCGTTCAAGGACAATAGTGGGACTTTATATGACGCACACGTTTGTACGCGTTGTATGTTGGGCCATGTTTTCCACGTGTCTGGTGCAGACCTACCTGTGCCCTTCTTGCAGGTGAAGGTCAGGTGGTAGTTGCAGGGCACGTCGTTCCACTGCCCCCCCTCGTGCCAGATCATCACCACGCAGTCCTCCCCCGACTGGAAGAAGCTGTCGGGCTGGTTGGGCCTCCAGTGCTCGTATTGCTGCCACACAACACACACTCCCACTTACTGCTCCGTGACATCACCTCCAGGGCATGTGCTCATGGCAAGTCAGAACAAGTGGTTTAATGTTGCATTCCAGTGACATAGGTCAAAGGTCAGAGGTCAATCCCCCATCAACAGTGGGACCACAAGGAAGCTGTTTTTGTTGTTATTGTTTTATCAAAATGTTTTTTTTAGCTAATAAAGATAAATACTGGGTCTGTCAAAACGAACGCGTTAATGTATGAGAGTCACGACCCCTGACCCCTGAAACCACTGTGTGCCGTTACTTAGATGGGAGATTAATTAGTGTCTATTGACGCTCTAATAAATACGCTGCTGCACAGTAAAGTGTGCAGCAGGCGGAGCTGCAGGACCATAGAAGCAACACGCTGCAGAGAACACAGCCTCCCAAGAGAGGGGCGGGGCCTCCCAAGAGAGGGGGCGGGGCCTAGCGGCTGAGCGAGTATCAGAACTTCCAGAACACAGACGTGTGAAAGCAAGTCATCCGTAGTGGAAATAAATAAATCATGTTTCAGCAGAATAATGTAAAATTCAAAGTCATGTTTTACAATCCATTACAATTCATTTAGGTTATCAAACTTTTTGGGGGGGGGTCAGGTTCCACATCTCATGCTGACACGCTACTGTTTAGGGGGCGTAATGCTCGCCATGTGCACGGTCTTAGCATGTTAGCATGTCCATTGGAATAGGAAACACATACTCTGCGGCTGGTTACCTGGTTACCTGGACAACCAATCACGTCGAGGTTCAGCAGGTTGTTGTGCACCATAACGCAGGTTTATTCTTTCTTGTCATGAACAAATGACTGAATGATTTGAAGGTCTCACCATCGGGTTGCCGTCCGTCCACTTGAAGTCCCTCTCGAACATCTTGTCGTTCAGGCCGAGCCACTGGTAGTCACTGCCCAGACCTGCTCCCATCCAACACACCCGAGAAGGACTTCATGTCATGTAATGGAAACCATGGAAATCTACGGCCCAGTAAAGCGAGGCGGATCACACGGAGCTCTCTGCTCTGACTGTGACCTCTTTGCTGCATCTCCCTGGCGCTCACGTCTGCATTACAGCACACATGCGAGGGCCTCTTTCCAAACACACGCTTTATTACACTGCAATAAAACAGAACAGTGAGGGTTCCACAGACAGCCGCTCCGTTTATCTGCAAAGGGATCAAATATAGTTGAAAGAGAAAAAAAATCGTCTTTCAGCTACTTGGGTCTGAGTGTCTGAGGTCTTTAATTTACTCCCCTGCTTTATAGTCTGTTAGAGACCTGTCAATCAGCTGTAGCCCCGCCCTAAAGCGTCCCCTGCTTTATGGTCTGTTAGAGACCTGTCAATCAGCGTGTAGCCCCGCCCTAAAGCGTCCCCTGCTTTATGGTCTGTTTGACTCTAAATGGACCATAATTCACTAAATGAACATCATGTTGTGTTGAAGGAGACTTGAAACTAGAGACTGAGACATAAACTCATGTTTACAATGTTTACTGAGGGAATAAACTCAGAGAGAAGTAGAGTCATTTCCTCATAGACGTCTATGGGAGCAGAGGAGTCGCCCCCTGCTGGTCACTACAGAGAAGTAGAGTCATTTCCTCATAGACGTCTATGGGAGCAGAGGAGTCGCCCCCTGCTGGTCACTACAGAGAAGTAGAGTCATTTCCTCATAGACGTCTATGGGAGCAGAGGAGTCGCCCCCTGCTGGTCACTACAGAGAAGTAGAGTCATTTCCTCATAGACGTCTATGGGAGCAGAGGAGTCGCCCCCTGCTGGTCACTACAGAGAAGTAGAGTCATTTCCTCATAGACGTCTATGGGAGCAGAGGAGTCGCCCCCTGCTGGTCACTGCAGACAACGCAGGGCGGACTCACCGTTGACGTACAGCTGCTCCTCTTGGGACAGGACGCTGGCCAGGTGGGCGCCGTGCAGACGACACTCCCGCTCGGCGGCGTCCCAGGTGCGCCGGTGGTTGACGTACTTGTAGCAGTGAGACTGAAACTTCTCCCACCCGAGTCCACAGACCTCCGTGTCTGCAGGGCAACATTAGACTGAAGTAAGTAGACAGTAGACATTCCTCACAAGGCGTCACATAAACAGTCCACTTCAGGCTCTCTCATATATATTTACTACTCTGAATAGATAAATACATCCATGTGTAGGACGGTCATTCAAATGTATAATTGTTCAGTTTTGCAGAAATAAGAGAAGTTATTATTCACAGATGTGACGCTGGGAGGGAAAATAGTGACTAATGAGACAAATATTCAACCAAAGCTGGAACCAATCTGCAGAGGAGCCGACGCCCACAGCTGCATGGACCCACCTGTGTGCATGCGTGTGCGTGTGTGTGTGTGTTTATAAGCATGAAACGTAAACCGTCAGTTTACTTGAACGTGTTTACGTCCTTTTAAACTTGTTAAATATCCATTTACCTTCATTACTTAAGTTGACTCAGTAAACTATACATAGATCTATATATATATATATAGATCTATATATATATATATATATATATATATAGATCTATATATATATAGATCTATAGATCTATATATATATCTATATATATATATATATAGATCTATAGATGTACATGAGCAGCGCACCTTGTCCACACAGCTCCCCCGAGTAGCTGGGCAGGCAGAGGCAGGTGAAGGAGCTCACTCCGTCCACACAGGTGGCTCCGTTCAGACACGGGTTGGACCGGCACTCGTCCACCTCTGCAGAACCACAACATCATCAGCACCCTCGTCATTTAAAGCGCTGTGTGTGTGTGTGTGTGTGTGTGTGTGTGTGTGTATGCGTGTGTGTGTATGCGTGTGTGTGTGTGTGTGTGTGTATGCGTGTGTGTGTGTGTGTGTGTATGCGTGTGTGTGTGTGTGTGTGCGTGTGTGTGTGCGTGTGTGTGTGTGTGCGCGTACCCGTCTCACAGCGCGGCCCGGTGTATCCGGGTGCACAGGCGCAGAGGTTCTGCGAGGTTCTCTGGTAGCAGGAGCCTCCATTGAGGCAGAAGCTGGAGGAGCAGAGCAGCGGATCTGAGGACGGACACGCCGGCGCGTTACAGACGTCTTACACACATCCTGCTTTCAGTTCATGAACCAGAGATCTTCTGGTTCTCCTTGTTTAGACCTTTAAAGAAACTATATCAATATAAACTATTTGTGTTTTTATGCTTTGCTAATATTAAGATATTTGTTATTTTCATTTCACCTCAATTTAAACTTTTGTTTACTATTTTACTTACAACTTGCTTCACTGATTGATTAATTAATTGATTAATTGATTGATTGGTGGATTAATTGATCGATTAATTGATTGATCAATTAATCCATTGATCGATCGGTGGATTAATTGATCGATGGATTAATTGATTGATTGATCGATGGATCAATTGATTGATTGATCGATTAATTGATTGATCGATCGATGGATTAATTGATCGATCAATGGATTAATTTAATTGAATGGATTAATTAATTGATCGATCAATGGATGAATTGATCGATCAATGGATTAATTGATCGATCAATGGATTAATTGATCGATCAATGGATTAATTGATCGATCAATGGATTAATTGATCGATCAATCGATCACTGGATTAATTGATCGATCGATGGATTAATTGATCGATTGATTAATTGATTGATCGATGCATTAATTGATTGGTGGATTAATTGATCGATCGGTTGATTAATTGATTGATGGATTAATTGATTGATCAATGGATGAATTGATTGATCAATAGATGAATTGATCGATCGATGTATTAATTGATTAATTGATTGATCGATGGATTAATTGATCGATCAATTGATTAATTGAACGATCGGTGGATTAATTGATTGATCGATGGATTAATTGATCGATCAATTGATTAATTGAACGATCGGTGGATTAATTAATCGATGGATTAATTGATTGATTGACTGATGAATCAATTGATCGATCAACGGATTAATTGATAGATCAATGGATTAATTGATTGATCGATGGATTAATTGATTGATCGATGGATTAATTGATTGATTGGTGGAGACAGGCAGCCTGGAGGCAAACCAGTGATCTGCTGTAAACCACTGAAGGAGGAAGATGATGTACCTCTGAGGCCCGTGCTGACCTCCACAGCGCCAGCAGGCTGCGTGGGGGGGCGCACCTCCACCAGAGGGGGGGCAATCTGTGAGTCATAGTCCACAAACTGCTCGTTGGGCAGGGGGGTGGCGGCAGGGTCCGGGACCAGAGCCCACTGGGGCACGGAGCGGGTCTCGTGGTCAAACGTGTACAAGGGCTCGGAGATGTAGTGGGCGGAGCTCGTGGTGGACTCTTCGGCGCTGGATGGGCGCTGGTCTATGGGGATCATGGATTCGGCAGGGGCAGGGGGGGTCGGATCCTTCTTAACCTCTGTGGTTGGCGCTCTCAAAGTCACAGCTGCCACATCTGTTATATCGGTAGCTGCGATGATCTCTGAGGGGGTCAACCAGACCACCCTGCTCCCCCTCTCCGGACAGCTGCTCTGCACCTGAGGCCACCTCCGTGACAGGGTCATCAGGTGGTGGTCGCCGGGTGGAGTAAACCAGTAAAGGCGGCATATCGGTGTAGCCGGTCGTCTCCTGGGGGTCTTGTGCCGAAGCCTCGTCCTGTCCCGAAGCCTCGTCTTCTCCGGAGGCCGACCCCTCTGGGTCCCCCGCTCGCAGCCCCGTGGTGACCCCTGCTGCCTCAGGAGGCTCCGTCCCACCGATTTCTGTCTCGTCCGTCATGACGGCAGACTGGTCCATGGTGGTCTGGTCTGTGGTGGTCTGGTCCGTGGTGGACCTGTCCCTGGTGGTCTGGTCTGTGGTGGGCCGGTCCGTTGTGGTCTGGTCCGAGGTGGGCCGGTCCGTGGTAGTCTGGTCTGTGGTTGTCTGGTCAGTGGTGGTCTGGTCTGTTGTGGTGGTCTGATCTGTGGTGGGCCGGTGCGTGGTGGTCGGGTCCGTGGTGGTCTGGTCTGTTGTGGTGGTCTGGTCTGTGCTGGGCCGGTCCGAGGTGGTCTGGTCTGTGGTGGTCTGGTCCGTTGTGGTCTGGTCTGTGGTCGTCTGGTCTGTGGTGGGCCAGTCCGTGGTCGCCTGGTCCGTGGTGGGGTGGTCCGTCGTGGGACGGTCTGTGGTGGTCTTGTCTGTAGTGGTCTGGTCTGTGGTGGTCTGGTCAGAGGTGGTCTGGTCCATGTCTGGAGAGAAGTCCACGGAGCCCTCCGTCTCCTCAGTGGGGACGGGCGTCTCCTCTCCGTGGACTTCTATGACCTCGTAGTCAGAGGGAGTCGTGTCCCCGTCTACCTGGACAGGTGTGGCCGTCTCAAACTGATCTCCTCTGGCTTCCTCCGGCAGCGGCGTCTCAAAGGTCACCTGATTGGATCAGAGTCACTTAGTTATCGATGCATCTGTATGTGCATCAAAGAAAACTATTTTTCACAGTAAAATCCATCTAAAAGAATATGTATTAAGTATGATTTGTCTATTATTGAGAGAGAGGATTCCATTATGCAGGAGACGTAAATAAAATATCCCATTAAGCCAAATTCCAGAGGGATCGTTTTGTAGGAGCTGTGAGTGAACCGGTGCCAGATTGAGAGCTGCTGTGTACTGATAACGTCTCCTCCACCAATTTATCGGTTTGCTACAACATGGATTCATGTTAATGTGCATTTAAAGACAATAAATACAATTCTGATTCTAAAGACCTTTTTTTATTAACCAAATATTTCGTTGACCGCCTCTGATTTAAAGGGATTCTTATGCTTGTTTTACCAGAACAAAGTCACAGACTAAATCTCCGGAAGCATCAAGAAGCTACCTGGTGTTTTTCGTTGACGAAGCTGACGGTGGGGGGCAGGTGGATCGGGTAGACCGCCAGAGGATCGGCGTCCCTGCTGTCCTGGAGCCCCTTGCTGGTCCCCTGGGAGAGGTCGGTGACCTGGGGGAAGTGGGGACCGCCGAGGCCCAGGGCCGACTGGCTCAGGATGTCTAAGATGTGGGAGACTAGAGACAACGAGGAACTGATGAGCAGAGAAGATCCTCCCACTGCTTCACACTCCAGGGAAAGTCTGGATTCTCTAATGACTTTTGGGTCATTAGTGACCTAATACTACTTTGTTGAATCAAGGGAGAAGATCAGCAGATTCAGTCTCACCCGAAGAAGCTGGATCTTCACATACGGTCAAATAAAATTAGCCAAATTAACAGCTGATAAAAATGCAGTGTTTTCTGTGGAGAAACTAAAACAACTCAGAAGAACGTCTACAGACGGGGAGAAGAAGATGAAGTGACTCTATCTGTAATGTAATAACGCAAGGAGGTTGATTTAAAGAAAAACGAAACCAGAAGTCAACCTTTGGTCTGGTTGGACAGGTTTTTCAGAGTAAAATGAAGCATTGAGGCTCAAAGCTTCCTGAGAGCTCCTTGTGTCTGATGTCTATTAAAACAAGCTGAGGTACATAACTGGATGTCAACATAGCGTTTGTGGTGAAGGTCTCTCGCTGCCAGCGGCGGCTCTCAAACAATGCAGCTTGTGTGTCTTCATCAAGGCTTCGTGGGACACATGGAACCCATAAATGTAGAAAATGTGACGTAAACACAGACCTGAGATCAATTTACTGGGGCAACGACTAACAGAAGCGCCGGCTGTGATCCGGATTATGAACAAAACCAACCTGATGGAGGAGTGTGGCCCCTACACAGCACTCAGATCAGGGCAAAGCGTTCCCTGAACCGTATGTTCCCCCAGCCAGATGTTCCCTCAGTCCCATGTTCCCTCAACCCTATGTTCCCTCGGCCATCAGCCAGATGTTCCCTCAGTCCCATGTTCCCCCAACCCTATGTTCCCTATGCCAGATGTTCTCTCGGCCATCAGCCAGATCTTCCCTCGTCCCTATGTTCCCTCAGTCCTATGTTCCCTCGACCCTATGTTCCCTCAGTCCTATGTTCCCTCGGCCCTATGTTCCCTCGGCCCTATGTTCCCTCGGCCCTATGTTCCCTCGACCCTATGTTCCCTCAGTCCTATGTTCCCTCAGCCCTATGTTCCCACAGCCCTATGTTCCCTCAGTCCTATGTTCCCTCAGCCCTATGTTCCCTCAGCCCTATGTTCCCTCAGTCCTATGTTCCCTCAGCCCTATGTTCCCTCAGCCCTATGTTCTTGTGTTCCATTCCTGATGCCCAGACTTTGAGGCCCCTGAGCGCTTGGACCGCCCTGTTCCTGGTCCTGGGACAGTAATCCATCCATGGAGGTAACACAAACAAACGCGGGGTAAGACAGAGAGGGACGGCATTGCTGGAAAAGCTGTTAGTTACAGCAACTCAGCACTAGAGCATTAACGTTTTGTCAGAAATCCAGACAAAAAGCTTTTGTCTTTCTGAGAAAACGAGAGAAACAAAAAGTTAAGGAGTAATCAGGTCTGATAAATTTGACTGCTCATGAGGCTGCTTCTCCCCATGGAGACACTGATGTGTTTACAACATGTTAAGCTTCAAAACTGGCCTGGACGAAGAAAAATGACTTCATCGTTTTCCACATCTGGCTCTGCAAACAGAGTGTGTGTGTGTGTGTGTGTGTGTGTGTGTGTTGTGAGAATTTGGCGGCACACAAATACAAAAAGGTACCGAGCTCTCTCCGTTCCCTCCGTGCACAATAAACAAAATTACTGTAAAGTCTCAACAACCCCCCGAAGAGAAACGTCCTCGCTGACAGATCGAACCGTTCAGGTGAAACGTGAGCGGTTCGGCTCCCAAGGCGCTGGCGCCGGAGAGAGGGGCCGAGGGGGAAACACGTCACCGGGAACATGTGCCGGGATGCGAGTCCCCGTTCGGTCCAGGTCAGAAATGTCAAACTGAAAAACAACTGGTTAATGTCGGTCGTCTTGCTGCAGTAACACGGAGGTCGTGAGGGAGCTCCACAGTTCTGCTTATCGTTCTTCAGCTGGCAGCTTGTGGCTTCAGAATGTGACATATTTGACTTGTAACAAGCATCCAACATTCGTTCCTAATGGACGCCGTCACTCACACGATATCCCGCCCCAAATCGTAGTCGTCAGCGCGCCCCCCCTCTACTCACCCGACTGGTTCTGATTGTGCACGTTGACGATGATGAGGTGGAACGGCGGTTTGCCTGAAGACTGGTCGAGGTCAAAGGTCGAGGCCGTTTCAGGGCTGACCTCCTCTTTAAAAACGACCACGGGCTGTTTCCCCGCCTCCACCGCGCCCCCCGGTACGCCCAGTCCCGGGGTGTGAGTTCCTGGTGCGACCGCCACGGTGGTGAGGGCCAGAAGCCGTGGCGGTCTGGACGTTTCCCCCCCCAGCCCGGACCCGGTGGTGGTCTTTAGAAGCCGACTGGACCCTGTAGAGGTCTCGCCCCAAGCCGGCGTCGGGGTCACCAGAGTCACCGCCTCGGCCCCGCTAGAGCGGCCGTCGCTGCTGCCCCCCTCCCCGCTGCCGCTGTTGGCGCCCCCCTCGTCCTGCCCCCCCTGGGAGATGTCGAGCTGCGGGGGCTGCCCCCTGGTGGTGGGTAAGGGGGGAAACGCCATGGGGAGCAAAGGGTCTGTAAGGTCGTAGTCGCTCATGGCGGTGGGGGGCGCGGAGGCCGTGGTGTGGGGGGGGGTGCGTTGGTCGGTTGGGGGCCTCTCTGTTGGCAGGTGTGCGACGGGCTCTGGTGGTCCGGGGGTCGGCGTGCCGGGGGCGCTTGTGGGTTCTGATGGAGTCGTCGGGGGACTCGTGGTCGTTGGCTCTGGTAGTTTAGTTGAGGGGGGCAGAGAAAAAGGGGGGGGGGTTAAAATGATGGTGCTGAGTTCACAGACTGCCTCTACGTAATCTATGTGACACCGTCAGTTCGAGACGGGTGAAGGGTTGTTGACCATATATGGTCACTTGATGATTGAAAATATACATGGATATGTATCCGCCTCTGGTCTCTACCTGTCAATCAGCGCGTAGCCCCGCCCTGAAGCATCTCCTGCTGTATGGCTGAAATATTAAAGCTCCTGGAGATTGTTCTGCTTATCAGTCTCAAATGACGGCACTGCGAGTCTCACCAAAAGAGCTCAAATGGTTTTTGCCAAAAACTACATTACTTATTGTTATTGTGTCCTAATAATAATAATGGCTGCCTAAAGGGGTTGAGTCATCCTAAAGTAGTGTGGAATGTTTTGGATAATGATCCATATATTATCTAAAATACACAGAACCCTCTGGTTGTGTCTGGGTCGGGTGGAGCCCACGTCAGCTACGTTAGAGAGTTAAATATTTAGCGGATGACTCACTAAAAAAAGAAAGCGTCGGTATGTCGACAACGAGAATCGTTTTAACTATAAAAGGAGACGCATGAAGTCACCTGACAGAAACAAACGGACTAACAAACCTCACTCTGGACGTGGGCGGCAGTGAGCTGGCGTAGGGTGGGTGGTGTTGTACTGTTAGGTGAGTGGTGTTAGACGGGTGGTGTCTCTTGCACCGCTGCACCCTGATGGTGTTTCCTCGCCGGCCGGCCCTGCGGCACCAGTGGACTTTAGGTTCTGGCGTGGGATAAGCTCCGCCCAGGTGTGAGGTCATGTGTTTGGCTGGGGTCTGTCACTGACTGTGCGCTAGCTACGCCTGTTAGCGGTTAGCATCCTCTGGGGCTCCTTCCCAGACTCCTTCGCTCTTGTCTCTCACCGGTCAGTGTTGGTTTTTTGATGACGGTGTTTCTCGGGGGGGTTCCTCCCTCCGCCGGCCTCTGGGCCGGGTCCAGCTGTGAAGCATTAGGGGATCCCCGCCCCCCACCCCCCTTTCTGCGGGGCGTTAGAGTTCATGCGTTGGGTTTTCCCCTCATAAAGAAAGGAAATGTGGGACTTTATCCTCCTGCTCCGCTCACAGCTGCTCTGTTCCCTGAGTTGTTGTCACATGACTGTTGGTCTCAGGTGAATCAAATCATAGCTTCTGGATTTTGCAGAAGAGGCCGACTTTTGTTATTTTACACAATCTAAATAAACCTAAATAAAGAGGATGTTAAATGACACGACGAGTGGAATAAAATTGGAAAAATTCTAATTTTAAGCTTTCTCCTGCATGACATGTTCAAGGACTGTTGTAAATATAACAATCAAATGAAAATGTTCCGCTTCAGGGAAAACAGGAACTTAGAGATAATAGAGTGTTAGCTACTTCAGGGTCAGACAGACAGACAGACAGACAGACAGGCCCCGTCTCACCTCGGTAGCAGTAGAGTCCGTGCCTGTCACTGGCGTCCGGGTATCCGGTCTGGTTGGGGTACTTGTAGAGCGTGCGGACCCCCAGCAAGCCCCCGCCGCACTGAGGCCGCGGCTGCGTGACGGGGTAGCGGGCGCTGCCGTCCGACAGCCAGCCGTAGTCGCAGCGGTTAAGCCCCTCCCTCCAGGCTGCAAACAGCTGACCAGGAGACGCCAGCACGGCGCCGTGCCTCTCGCACTTGTCCCGGGCTTCCTGTAGCGTTAGCTTAGCATTGACAGAGGACGGGTAGAAGACTTCCCCTTCAGAGGAAGGACACACACAATCAAAGGTTCAGCTTTGAGGGTTAGATGGGAAAGATTTAATAACTAGAGGACACATGTAGAGGTCTTGTTACATTTTGTGACAAAACACTGGGAAAGTCCTGCACTTAGATGACATTCATTCAACGCTTCAGCCGCTAGCACCAGGACTTATGCTAAGCTAAGCTAACCGACAGAGAAAAATCCTTAAAGGAACAGCCACACTGTGTACGTAGTGCTGTTTACCGCGTAGCTTCCCCACGTAGCAGTACACGTCGTACTCCTCCGAGGCGTCACGGACGCCGTACGTCCTCACGCCTGGTCGGTTCCCCAGGTTGCCGTAGCACCCGGGCCGCGGCGTTCTGATCGGGTACCTTAGGAAAGACACCGGGCGGGTGAGTCTAGACTGGTGGAGCTCCTCAGACGCGGAGGCACTAGTGAACATGTGGCGTAGGCGTTCGCGCACCTGACGGAGCGGTCGGCGAGCCAGCCGGCGTCGCACTGGTCTAGACCGTCCTCGAAGGCGGCCGCCAGATGGTCGGGCGTGGCGATGTCAGCGCCCGCGGAGCGACATGCATCCATGGCGGCGTGTAAGTTCATGGTGTAGCGGCTGGCGTTCGCCCTGTAGTGGAACACCACACCTGGAGGATGGAGATGTGGGACATGAGAAGCAGATGGTGCACAGAGGTTCCATTCTAACCTAAAATACTGCAATACCCATGAGCCTCGCTGCTCTGGGGAGGGAAGAGGTCAGAGGTTGATCACAAGGAGAGTGAATACCTTCAGATATCTCTCACCCTCTAGTAACCCGTCTCACCCTCTAGTATCCTGTCTCACTCTCTAGTATCCCGTCTCACCCTCTAGTATCCTGTCTCACTCTCTAGTATCCCGTCTCACCCTCTAGTATCCTGTCTCACTCTCTAGTATCCCGTCTCACCCTCTAGTATCCTGTCTCACTCTCTAGAATCCCTCACCCTCTAGTATCCTGTCTAGCCCTCTAGTATCCTGTCTCACTCTAGTATCCTCACTCTCTAGTATCCGTCTCACTCTAGTATCCCTCACCCTCTAGTAAACGTCTCACCCTCTAGTATCCTGCCTCACTCTCTAGTATCCCGTCTCACTCTAGTATCCGTCTCACCCTCTAGTATCCTGTCTCACCCTCTAGTATCCTGTCTCACCCTCTAGTATCCTGTCTCACTCTCTAGTATCCCTCACCCTCTAGTATCCTGTCTCACTCTAGTATCCTCACTCTCTAGTATCCGTCACTCTAGTATCCCTCACCCTCTAGTATACGTCTCACCCTCTAGTATCCTGCGTCACTCTCTAGTATCCCGTCTCACTCTAGTATCCCGTCTCACCCTCTAGTATCCTGTCTCACCTTCTAGTATCCTGTCTCACTCTCTAGTATCCCGTCTCACTCTAGTATCCCCTCACCCTCTAGTATCCCGTCTCACTCTAGTATCCTGTCTCACTCTCTAGTATACCGTCTCACCCTCTAGTATCCCGTCTCACTCTCTAGTATCCTGTCTCACTCTCTAGTATCGGATAAGTGCAGCGCTCATTACGTGACAACATAAAGGAAACAGGAGTCTTCCTCAGTCTGTCTCAAGTCATCACCTCCTTTATGGGGGGTATTATGAGCTCTAGATGGGGGGGGGGGTTATAAACCCAGACAGGATGTGAATGGATGGACCGAGCGTTTAATGGAGAGTTGTATATCGCTCACACGGAGCGTCTTTGTGCGGAGGGACTCAACAAAGAGGCCCGTTCAGCCTCAATGTGGGAGGGGCTGTGCGGGGTCTCCTCAAGATAAACTGGATCCGATACAGTCCCACATGTGAGGGACGAGTCACTGCCTTCTTTCTTGGGTTGTTTGTGTCTCTTTCAGGTTGTTCAGTGTCTTTGTGGTTGTTCTCGGTCTCTTTGTGTTCATCTCAACAAAAGCTTAATAAAAAGCTGCTTTTTATGAGGCTGAAACAGTTCAACAAAACAAAATGCTCAAAAGGCTCAAACAAAATCATTGTGATGTTTTTTTTCATCATTACGAGTGAAAAACATATTGATTAGTGTGACTTTGACGAACAGTCTGAAATCTTCACACACCTGGATTTCTATAAAAATAAAAGCGTGGCGTGGGAGGGGTGCGTTGGTTTTACTCACCGCTGACGTTGAGGCGGACGGTTTCCCGGGATTCCTCCATCCCGTGGATGACCTCACAGCGGTACACCCCCGCGTCGCTCGCCCTAAGCCCCCCCAGCATCAGGGAGGCGTCGCCCCCGGACGGCTGGGGGCTCTGCCACGACAGCCGGCCCGCGTAACGCTGTCCCTCCTTCGCCGCCCCCCCCAGGGTCACCAGGACCACCTCCTCCCCGTCCTTCTTCAGCTTCGTCCACTTGATCCTCAGCTCTTCACGGGATCCGGGTGTTGGAGTGTCCGCAGAAATCGGCGGGATGGAGAACTGACACGGCAAAGTCACGTGGTGACCCAGAGAGCCGGTCAGCGGGGGGTTGTTCTGCATCGTCATGGAGGCCGATGAGGCTGCAAAGCAGGAAGCTCTACTTTAACTAAAACATATGCTTGAATAACCAGAACGGTCACATTTAGATACAATATCCTGACTAAGAAAGATACAACACAACAACATCCAAATATTAAACAACAACGTTGTTCAAATGTTTTTGAATTCTTTCAGGAGACAACTTCTGGTTCTTCAAAGTGAAGCCAAAGGTGAGATAAAGCTGCATTCTGTGTGGTGACCAGCAGGGGGCGACTCCTCTGCTCCCATAGACGTCTATGAGGAAATGACTCTACTTCTCTGTAGTGACCAGCAGGGGGCGACTCCTCTGCTCCCATAGACGTCTATGAGGAAATGACTCTACTTCTCTGTAGTGACCAGCAGGGGGCGACTCCTCTGCTCCCATAGACGTCTATGAGGAAATGACTCTACTTCTCTGTAGTGACCAGCAGGGGGCGACTCCTCTGCTCCCATAGACGTCTATGAGGAAATGACTCTACTTCTCTGTAGTGACCAGCAGGGGGCGACTCCTCTGCTCCCATAGACGTCTATGAGGAAATGACTCTACTTCTCTGTAGTGACCAGCAGGGGGCGACTCCTCTGCTCCCATAGACGTCTATGAGGAAATGACTCTACTTCTCTGTAGTGACCAGCAGGGGGCGACTCCTCTGCTCCAATCGATTTCTAGTAGGTACTGCATAGAGCTGTTGGTAGTGACTAGCAATAGGCGAGTCCTGCGCTCCCATAGACGTCTATGAGGATATGACTCCACTCTATTCCCTCAGTAAACATTGGCTCAGTCTGTTGTTTTAAGTCTTCTTCAATGCAGCATGAAGGTTATAGTGGATTATGGTCCATTTAGAGTCAAACAGACAATAAAGCAGGGGATGCTTTAGGGGCGGGGCTACACAATGATTGACAGGTTCGTATTCATGTTTTTGTCTCACACCGTTAACACTTACACGGTAAGTTTTTATGTCATTGAAGCAATTCGTTATATCTCGAGAAATAAAAACGTTTTATTCAGCGTTCGGTTGCCTTTAGCTCCGCCCCCTCGCAGTCACCTCTGGTTGCCATGAAACAAGATGTCAACGCCCGCGATGCCGAACCGGACGCTTCAGACAGTAGTCTGTAAATAGTGAAAACTTGCTTTAACATCTTCCGGAGCTCAAATTGATTCAGTCCAAAACCCAATAGGATTTTTTCAAATTTGACAAATAAAACCGTGAATCTTAACTCTGGAATATAACAGAGTACATTTTACAAGTACATTTGTTCTTGTCAGGATCTTGTACTTTAGTATTTTCAGCGTTGGACTTTATCCTTGAGTCTTTTCTACCTGGAATAACTAAGTTTCCCTAAAACAAACGTCGAGAACAAGCAGACAGAAGAAGGAGGAATTTTTTATTCCTCAGAGGAGCGACGGGAACTTTTCTCCAACTGGCAGCAAACACAGCTGCAATCAGGAAGTGGCTTGTGTGTGTGTGTGTGTGTGTGTGTGTGTGTGTGTGTGTGTGTGTGTGTGTGTGTGTGTGTGTGTGTGTGTGAGTGGAAAGCATGTGTTCATAGCCGACGTGGTGGAGTGATAATCACTTTCCACTTTGTAATATTTGGAGCTGCAGCGTTTCTCATGAGTCAGAGAGAGGAAGAGGAGGAGAGGGAGAGGAAGAGGCGAGGAAGAGGAGGACTGACTCACCTGCTTGGGGCCGAGCGGCGCTCAGACACACGAGGCCGATCAGGTGCGTGAGGACGTGAAGCATCTCAACACCTGGAAACCAAGATGGAGGAGGCTGATGCAAAGACACGTGGTACTTGTACACAGGTGATACTGAGAAGACAATTACTGGTTTTATTTCTCATTTTATCATCATGTACTTCAGGACTGATGGTGGAACATGAACAAAACTACTGATCGATAAATTGATTAATCAGCTTGTTTCAGCGATAATGAAACTAATCATGGGCTGCAGTTTGAATCTGACAGTTATTTACATATTAAAAAATCATGATTTTTTTTAAAGAGATTAAACTTGTAATAATAATAATAATATACAACATTATTACACTGATAATGTTCTGTGGATACTAATAATATTTAGTGAAAAACAAAATTCTTCACATAAAAGAAGCTGAAACAGCAAAGTGATATAAATAAATGTAAATGCACATGTAGCTTAGCTTAGCCTTCATCTCTCTGCTGTAAACTGGGTATTGATTTGTTTTGGGTGAGCTGCTTCAGGATCAGTTAACTTATTTGTTACTAAAGCACACGTATCTGATCGGGGGGTTAATCAATGAGTCTGTTATCAATGACTTCATCGCTGTGGGATAAGAGACATAAACAGAGCATTTAAATAACAATATCCTGTGGATTCTGGACGTCTTCTTACCTTAATAGAGAAAAGTAATGAGAACTGTCCAAAGCTTCCCAGATGAGGCTCCTTCCAGCTGCTCCTCTTCTGGACCTCCTTCCTCCCTCTGCAGCGACTCCAAACCCACTTTCCACGCTACTATCAGGGGGGCGGGGCCTCCGCTGCGTGTACACGCCCACATGGGGGGGAGGGGGGGGGGGGCACAAAGACGCTACTCTTCAACTAATAAACTAAAGACAAAAATCTGTCTTTGGGATAAATTTCATGACATCACATTAAAAAAAAATGCAAGACCGACTCAGTTTATTGGTTAAAATGTTAAAAATGTGTAATTATAAATATCACAACCATCAGAACCATCGCTGACTTCACTGCTCGGCCCGCGTGAGACCCAAGTGGGACAATTATGGTCCTTTAGAACGTTACAGCAATGATTTAGGTTCTAAAGGGTCCTTTAGGGTCTATGGGGTTCTAAAGGTCGATACAGAACGTTACAGCAATGCTTTAGGTTCTAAAGGGTCCTTTAGGGGTCTATGGGGTTCTAAAGGTCGATACAGAACGTTACAGCAATGCTTTGGGTTCTAAAGGGTCCTTTAGGGGTCTATGGGGTTCTAAAGGTCGATACAGAACGTTACAGCAATGCTTTAGGTTCTAAAGGGTCCTTTAGGGGTCTATGGGGTTCTAAAGGTCGATACAGAACGTTACAGCAATGCTTTAGGTTCTAAAGGGTCCTTTAGGGGTCTATGGGGTTCTAAAGGTCGATACAGAACGTTACAGCAATGCTTTAGGTTCTAAAGGGTCCTTTAGGGTCTATGGGGTTCTAAAGGTCGATACAGAACGTTACAGCAATGCTTTAGGTTCTAAAGGGTCCTTGAGATGTTTCAAGTGATTCTCTGTGAGGTCCTCTAGGGTTCCTGTAGGAGGTTCTGGTGTTACTTTAGGATCCTCGGGGGATGGAACCCTCCAACATCAGACACAAACAGAGTCGATATATTTAGATGGGTGGTTCCCTTTATTATCGCCCGTGGTCGTTACAGGTCGGTGTCAAGCAGAAACACTACAACCGCCTCACGACAGGCTAGTAATTCTCAACAGGTCCTCC